AAGTCCTGGGATCACAGGAATGAGCCACCATGCCTGGTCCCTGCCCTAGTTCTTGTTTTGTGTTGTTTTGAGATGAGGTCTCAGTATATTGCCCAGGCTGGTCTCTAACTCCCAGGTTCAAGCAATTCTCCTGCCTCAGCCTCCCAAAGTGTTGGAATTTCAGGTGTGAACCACCTTGTCCTGCCACCTGCCCTGGTTCTGAACTCATAGATATAACTTCTCCCATCAACCAGGTCCTCCTACCCCTGGGATCCCCCCTCTACCTCCAGCCTGGAGGGAAATTCCAGGCCTCCCTGGAGCTTATGAAGGGAAAAACCCAGGAGGGTTTCTTTCTGTGACTCAGTGTCCTCCACTTGCCTTATTATGGGGACAGGATCCCAGAGAGTCAGGGTTAAAAGGACATTTGCTTAGTAGGAAAGCTGTCCCAGAGGTAGGTGTGCCTCATCTGTGGTCACACCGAGGGGCAGGGCTGAGCCAGAACATGAGCCCAGAAGTCCCAGGTCCCACACCAGCTCCTTTCATATTGCTCAAACCTAATATCAACCCTTCACACTTTAGTAAAAAAATAGTGCAACACAAAAGCAGAACTCTAAGACCTGGTGAGGACATAGGCCAGGTTAGATCTGATGAAAGGGAAAGACTGGCCCAGAGGGCAGCAAGTAAGGGGCCCAGCCCCCACCTATAATCCTAGCACTTTGGGAGGCCAAGGCGGGTGGATCACTTGAGCCCAGGAGTTTGAGACCAGCCTGAGTAATATGGCAAGACCCCATCGCAGCTAAAAATACAAAAATTAGCTGGGCACGGTGGCACACACCTGTTGTCCCATGGAGGCTGGGGTGGGAGGATCACCTGAGCCTGGAGAGGCAGCTGCAGTGGGCTAAGACTGAGCCCCACCCTAAGCTTGGGGGCTCCGGATACTCACTGCTGTCAGCCAGGACAAAGCTGCCACACACCTGGGAGTAGCTGCCAGACCGATCTGTGATGTTGACACTGAAAATGTCATCGGCCACGAAGTGGAACACATCCATGTGGCAGGTATATGTGGCATGCGTGGCATTGTGGGCCAACCTGTGGAGGCTGCAGGAGGTGACCTCGTCCTTCAGCTCTTCATACTGTTCTTGCCTTCAAGGACAGAGCAGCCGGTCATGGCTGGAAGCCAGGGGCAGGGGAGCTGGTGTCAGCTCAATGCTCAGGGCCAGGGCAGAAGCTTAGACTGTCAGGGCTGGGAAAGATTTGAGGCAGGGCTGGGGGGAGTCACCTGGTCCAACCAACCTTTTCCCAGGGAAGGTATCCGCTCTCCTGCACCATCCCCGATGAGTTGTGTCCAGGCTCAGCTTGCATACCTCCCAGGGACCGGGAACTCACTACCTCATTTAGAGCAGCAGCTCTCAATTTTGGAAATTTGGGCCATTCTTTCTTGGACCAAGCCTAAATCTGTCCCAGCTGGTCCCAACAACCGGATGGCTGTCCCTCACGAAGGGTGCTAGGTATTTTGGGTTTCCTTCTCTCCTTTCTGTCCAATGTCCACTTTTTTGAGACAGTCTCACTGTGTCCTCCAGGCTGGAATGTCATGGTGGGATCACGGCTCACTGCACCCTCGACTTTCCCGGGCTCAGTTGATCCTCCTATCTCAGCCTTCAGAGTAGCTGGGACTACATGCATGCACCACCATGCCCAGCTAACTTTCTGCATTTTCTGTAGAGATCAGGGTCCCTCCATGTTGCCTAGGCTGGTCTCAAACTCCTGGGCTCAAGTGATCTGCTTGTCTTGGCCTCCCAAAGTCCTGGGATTACAGGTGTGAGCCACTGCGCCTGGCCCCAACACCCACTGAATACCTCATAAGAGCCTGTGCTGAGGGCTAGGATAAGAGCTAAATGAACCTCGTCTCCTCCTCTGGTTGGACTTCTGGGGACGCTGGTGGGATGGGGTTAGGGAAAATGTGGTGGCTTTTTAACTTTCACCGGACAAAGATGATTGGTTTTGAAGTATATATAGGAGTTCACCAGATATTAATTTCCCTATCTACGTGTTCAGGTTCCGAACATGACCGCTCTCTCTAGGCCCAACAGGGATGTGTAGACTGAGTCCTCTGCTAAACTTGCCGGAGTAGAAGTTCCTGCTGAATAAAAGCTTTCCAAGCCTCCCAGCCTGGACTTCCTCGTTATTGACCCCCCACCCTGCCTCTCTCCACTCCAACCACACTGACCTCCCTATTCCTCACACTCAGCATCTCTTCTCCTGCAGGGCCTTGCACTGGCAGTGCCCTCTTCCTGGAATGGCTTTTCCCCTGCTGGCCGGCTGGCTCCTTCTTACCGGAGGATGTGGTCCCTCTGCCTGAGGTCCAGTGTCCCATTCTTTATAGCACCCATTGTTGTCAGAACGTATTCTGTTTGGGGCAGGGCTGTCTCACACCTGTAATCCCAGCACTGTGGGAGGCTGAGGCGGGCAGATCTATTGAGGCTAGGAGTTTGAGACCAGCCGGGCTAACATAACTAAACCCTGCCTCTACTTAGAATGCAAAAATTAGCTGGCCATGGTGGCACACGCCTGTAATCCCAACTACTCGGGAGGCTGAGGCAGAAGAATTGCCTGAACCTGGGAAGTGGAGGTTGCAGTGAGCCGAGACCGTACCACTGCACTCCAACCTGGGTGACAGAGTGACACTTCATCTCAAAAAAAAAAAAAAAAAAAAAAATATATATATATATATATATATATATATATATATATATATAATCCTGTGTTTGGGCCTGTAATCCCAGCACTGTGGGAGGCTGAGGTGGGCAGATCACTTGAGCCCAGGAGTTGGAATCCAGCCTGGGCAACATGGCAAAATGCTGTCTTTCCAAACACTACAAACATCTTCCAGGTACGGTGATGCATGCCTGTAGTCCCAGCTACTTGGGAGGCTGAGCGGGAAGGATTGCTTGAGCCCAAGAGGTCGAGGCTATAGTGAGTTCTGATCATACCACTACACTCCAGCCTGGGCAACAGAGCAAGGCCCTGTCTCAAAAAGAAAAAGAAAGAATAAAGAGGAAACGCCCTGTTGGCTGTTTTGTGCTTCTGTCTGCGGTACGTCAGTTCTAAGGTATCTGGTCCCTGGTCGGCCTTGCTCTGCTGAATCCCCAGTGCCTGCAACAGTGTTTGGCAGGAACTTAATACATGCTTTGTTTTGTTTTTGAGATGGGATCTTGCTCTGTTGTCCCGGCTGGAGTGCAGTGGTGATCATAGCTCGCTGCAGTCTTAACCTTCTGGGCTTGGTCCTACTGCCTTAGACTCTCAAGTAGCTGGGACTGCAGGATGGTGCCACCATGCTTAATTGATTTATGTTTTGTAGAGACAGAATTGTGTGATGTGGCCCAGGCTGGTCTCAAACTCCTGGGCTCAAATGATCCTCCTTCCTCAGCCTCCCAAAGTGGTTAGAAGCATGAGCCACTGCACGTGGCCTATAAATGTGTTTTGAATGAATGAATGAGCTGATGGATAACAGAAGCTCTTCTTTATCCTGAGCTGCATATGGACTCAAAGGGACCCATGGACTTTGGAGTTGGGGGGGTTTGAATTTGAATCCCAGCTCCAGCATTCACTGGCTGTGTGACCTTGGGTGAGTTGCTTAGCCTCTCTGAACCTCAATGTCCTCATCTGTAAAATGGGAGTAATTATTGTGAGGGTTGGGAGCGACCATTCATGGAAAACATGTAGCCGAGGGCCTGGTACCTACTAAGTGCTTTAAAAATTATGCAGGAGACTGGCCATCCCGGGGTGTCAAAACCATGACTCAGCCTGTGTGGGCAAGAGAGTGGCCTTTGCAGCCAGTGGATAGATCAACCCTGGGGTCTCCTGACTTTTCAAGTCCTGTGAGCCCTGAGTGATCATCTGAAAGGTGGGTACTGTGGTCCTCTGCACACAGCGGCCTCCTGGGAGTGGAATCACTGAGCAGGGAGTGGAATCACTGGGGATACAACCATAGATGGAAGAGACAAGACTTGTGCCCGGGGCCAAGTGTCTGTCTGGTGGGGACACAGAAACCAAGAGAGTGCTGGGTTTCAAGAAACATCAAGGAGGAGGGGAAGGAGGAGATGGCTAAGGTGTCACTCAGACCTCAGGCCCTCCTGCTCTCATGTCTCCTTGACTCAGGAATCTTAGCCCCTGCCTGGGCTATGGGGCCACCAGTTGTCTGAATGGTCAGGCTACTAAGGGTAGCAACTCCCTTCTATGAGTGGGGTAACTGAGGCCCGGAGTAGGAGGGGGACACCAGTGGGGACCCCCATTATGGTGGGAGCACATCGTGGTCCTGATTTCTCCCTCTCTCCCTCCCTCCCTTGGTCCCTCCTCCCTCCCTCCCTGCTTCCCTCCCCCCCCCTCCCTCCTGCATCTCTGTGTCTTTGTCTGTCTTCATGTCTTTCTCTCTTGACGTCTCTTTGTCTCTGCATCTATGTCTTTCTGTCAGTTTGAATGCTTACCTTGGCTGGGGCACAATGGCTCACCCCTGTAATCCCAGCAATTTGGGAGACCAAGGTGGGTGGATCACCTGAGGTCAGGAGTTCAAGACGAGTCTGGTCAATATGGTGAAACCCCATCTCTACTAAAAACACAAAAATTAGCTGGGTGTGGTGGTGCATGCCTATTAGTACCAGCTACCTGGGAGGTTGAGGCAGGAGAATTGTTTGAACCTGGGAGGCAGAGGTTGCAGTGAGCCAAGATGGTGCCACTGCACTCCAGCCTGGGCAACAGAGTCAGCCTGTCTCAGAAGAATAAAAGTACAAAAATAAGTAAACCCTCACCTTACCCTTGTCCTGTGCTATGACTCACTCTCTTTTTCTCTCTCACAGAAATGGGTGGATGCAACCCTCACTGCCTCCATCCTGGAACTGGGACCCTGGAGCCCAGAAGTGCCCTCAGCCCTGGAGGTGTACAGTTGCCACCTACCACGGAGTCCGGCCAAGAGGCTGCAGCTCACGGACCTGTGAGAACCGGCAGAGCTGGTGGAGTCTGACAGCATGCCCAAGCCCAGCTCCTGGGCCACGGCCCAGAACTCAGGGGGCTCAGCTTACAGGGAGGAGAGGGACCGGCCATACGGCCTGCTGTCCATCAACACAGTGACTGTGCTAGATGCAGAGGGGCTGTGTACCGGGCCTTGCAGCTGTGAGGATGACGGCTACCCAGCCCTGGATCTGGATGCCAGCCACGAGCCCAGCCCAGGCCTAGAAGACCCACTATTGGACACGGGCACCACAGTCCTCTCTGGTGGCTGTGTCTTGGCTGGCAGTCCTGGGCTAGGAGGGCCCCTGGGAAGCCTCCTGGACAGACTAAAGCCACCCCTTGCAGATGGGGAGGACTGAGCTGGGGGACTGTGCTGGGGTAGCCAGTCACACAGAGGGGCCTTAGAGAGTGAGGCAGGTTCACCCCCAGCCGGCCTGGATATGGATCCGTTTGACAGTGGCTTTGTGGGCTCTGACTGCAGCAGCCCTGTGGAGTGTGACTTCACCAGTCCTGGAGACATAGGCCCCACCCCCGAGCTACCTCCGCCAGTGGGTGGTCATTCTGTCGCCACTCTCGAGCCCAGGACTAGGCCAGCTAGTGAGGCTGACTGGCTGTCCAGAGCTGTCCACTGGCTACTGGGTCCTGAGCCAGAGTCAAGGTCACTTGGGGTGTGACTGAAGACACCTGCAGCCTTTGGGCTCCCAGATGGGCCCAGCATGATGTTCACATTTTCTGTGTGTGTGCACGTATGTGCATTTGTGGGTGCGTGTGTGTAGGTGCATGTGTGTGCATGTGTCAGTGCATGTTGGTGCGTGTGTGTCCCAGGTGCGGGCACAGTGACACATCCATGTGTGTGTGTGAATGAACGTGCCGGTGGGCCTGGCCTGGAGAATGCCCATGGTACTCTATGCATTCTGCACCCAGGGAGCTCACCCGAGTGTACCAGGGTGCACAGCAAACGTATCTGTGGGCAACAGATGACAACAGCCTTCCTCCTTTCCAGGGTCTTGTATTACAAACTGGTCCACGGCCCCTCCAGGGCTTTGTGGGATCAGGGCATTGCTTGTGGCAGAGGCCAAGCCCAGCCCTCCAGCATCTGCCTCCAGGAGCTGCAAGATGTCCATACGGTTCCTTATCACCTGCCGGCAGGAAGGGAAAGAGGTGGCAGTGAGCCCTCGGTGACCCCGCCCCAGGTTGGGAAGATTCTGGGAGACCCATGGAGGAAAGTCTGAATCCCAACTCATACCTTCTGGCTGTGCTACCTGAGCCAAGTCGCCTCCCCTCTCTGGGCTAGAGTTTCTTTGTCTGGACAATGCAAAAGGCATGACCCACTTGCAGGAAACTGGTGATGTCACCTGCGTATAGTATGCAGCCCAGAGCAGACCCTCAGTATATGTCAGCTTCCTTCTTTCTGTGGCCACAGCAGAGGCTCGCACAGGAGGTGGGCGGGGGTGACAACACCCATCATCCCTGACAGCCCGGGCACCCGTGGGGCTGTCCTGCCTCCAGGGGACCACTTGGGGGGTTTTCCAGGCTTAAAACAGTCTGTCTTGTCTCTTGGAAACAGCTCCCCACCAACCAAAATTTCTTTTTCTGACTTCTGCTTCTAAGTTCTAAAAAATTCCGTTTGTGCACCCAAGAGATATTTATTAAACACCAATTACGTGCCAGGTCAAGGCTCATGGGACCCTCCCCCCATGGCACTCATGGAGGGAGGGTGCAGGCCGAAACCAGGCAGTGCCCTGCAGCCACACTTCATGCTGTGGCCCCCACCTGCCCCAATTCAACAATTCAATTCAGCATCATCCTGGAGAATTAGAGGGAAGTCAAGGTGTGTGTCAATGATTTGTCACAGAACCTGTTGAAATGTAAATTAAGAAGCTAAGAAAATAATTCTTAGCAACATTTTGTTTTTCTTTTTTTTTTCTTTTGAAACAGAGTCAGTCTGTTGCTCAGGCTGGAGGGCAGTGGTATGATCTCGGCTCACTGCAGCTTCTGCCTCCTGGGTTCAGGCTATTCTCCTGCCTCAGCCTCCCAAGTAGCTGGAATTACAGGCATGCACCACCACGCCTGGCTAATTTTTGTATTCATATTAGAGACAGGCTTCACTATGTTGTCCAGGCTGGTCTCAAACTCCTGACCTCAAATGATCTGCCTGCCTCGGTCGGCCTCTCAAAGTGCTGGGATTAGAGGCGTGAGTCACCACGCCTGGCACCTTAGCAGCATTCCCAAGGAACCTCACTAAATATTAGTTTAGTATAGAAGCTAGATGTAGGTGCTAGGTATTGCATAAAACTCATCTCTCTCTCCTCTCTTTCACTCTCTCTCTCCACACACACACACACACACACACACACACACACACACACACACAGACACACATTTTTTTAAGGAAATATGTTGTTTTCCCCCAAAGGGTGCCCATCTTAGAAGTGGCTTGGCTTTTTGAAACCCAAGCAAGGTTACTGCAGCAGTGTGATTCCATTCTGGAACCTGAGAGATGGAGGCATAGTCCTGGTAATAGCTGTTGAGCTCCTGGATCCAGCCATGCCTGAAACCACATTCCTCCCAGACCATTTAGATATGAGAATGGAAGTCATTATGATGTTCACCAAATATTTCCACCCCCTGCACCTGCACCTGCACCCTAGGGAGTCTTGGGAGCCTGGAGGAGGACCCCCATGCTGGCCCGGTCCTGCTGTCTCCCACAAAGGCCAGACTGCAGGCTGCAGGGCCATGCCAGGAGAGCCAGCTCTGGCTTTTGGAGCAGGGTTGGGTTGGAAGTCAGCAGAAGTCAGTCCTGTCAAAGGCTCCCTCACAACTCATCTGTGAAGTGGGGTAGCTGGCAGAGGTCGCTGAGAGAATGCATGAGAGTTCTCAGTGCCTGGCAGGAGGCTGGAAGGTTCTAGAATGCTGATGGTTGTAAGAGTAGGACTGTGAGCCTGGGATCGGGCTGTGTGAGACTTGGATGGGAGTGAGAATGGAAGCACAGCTTCTGCATGGGGGAGCAGCCCTCACCACCCCTACACCCACATCTGCACCCTAGGGACTTGGGTTCAGATGTGCTGTGGTTTTTACACCCTTTTGGGGGCATCAGGTTCCAGGAGCCACCTGCAGGTGCCACATGAGCCACAGGCTCTCAGGAAACCAGCACAGCTCTCCTGCACCCAGATCTCGCTGCGTGAGGGAGGGGAACACAGATGGCTGGGGAGAGCCTGACTGAGGCCAGATGGGGGGTGCTCTGGACTGGAGCAGATGAGACCCCTTAGAATTCCACCTATGAAGGCAACTCAGCTCATAAACATGGGGGAGTGAAGTTGGAGGCTGGCATAGTGGCTCATGCCTGTGATCCCTGCTCTTTGGGAGGCCGAAGCAAGGGGATCACTTGAGGACAGGAGTTCAAGACCAGCCTGGGCAACGTGGCAAGACTCCATCTCTACAAAAATTATTTTAAAAAAAATCATCCAGGCGTGGTGGTGCTTGCCTGTAGTCCCAGCTACTCGGGAGGCTAAGGTGGGAGGATCGCCTGAGCCCAGGAATTTGAGGCTGCAGTGAGCTGTGACTGACCCCCTCTATTCCAGTATGGGTCACAGATCAATACCCTGTCTCTTAAAAAAAAAAAAAAAGTTGGAGACAAGAGCTGGCTCACCTAGAAGGATGGATTAGTAGGTGGGAGGGTGGACAGAGGATGGATGGATCTGTGAATAGATAGAAGGATCATATTAGGTTGGTGCAAACGTCTTTGTTGTTACTCTTAATGGCTTTGATAACACGTTTGAAGGAAGAATGGTTGGTCGGATAGACAGAGATAAACAGATACTGGAGACAAAGGTGAAGACAAGACACAAGCCTACAGGCCAGGAACTCTATTTTGTTCACTGCCTTTAGTCCCAGCCTGGCACATAGTAGGCACTCAATAAAGCCTGATTTGTAGCATTTGCTTATTTCCATGGTGTAATTTCAAGTGCCTGATTTCAGTCTAAACACAGAGTTGGGAAGAAATCTGCACAATCTGCTCATGGCTGATATGAGCGAGTCCCAGATCACTTACTGATGTACCCAGACAGCACATCAAGAGGGCCAGGGGGCTTCAGGGAGGAGGTGCTGTTGGTTGGACTTTGAAAAATGAATAGGAGGCTGGGAGCAGTGGCTCATGACTGTAATCCTAGCACTTTGGGAGGCTGAGGTGGATGGACCATTTGAGGTCAGGGGTTCAAGACCAGCCTGAGCAACATGGTAAAACCCAGTCTCTACTAAAAATATAAAAATTCGCTGGGCGTGGTGGCACGCGCCTGTAATCCCAGCTACTTGGAAGGCTGAGACTGGAGAATCCAGGAGGCGGAGGTTGTAGCAAGCAGAGATGGCACCACTGCACTCCAGCCTGGGCAACAGGGCAAGACTGTGTCTCAAAAAAAAATAAATTAATTAAAAAGGGAAAATGTATAGGAGTTGTTAGATGTACCAGCTATTTGGGGAAGAGGGAAGAGCTTGGACAAAGGCCTGGAGTATGACTAAGGGTCAGAAGCAAATGGGACTGGTGGCTCCTTGCCTTCCAAAACCACGCCAGAATCACTACGCACCCTCACTTAAAAGGAAGGGGGACCCATCGCAACACTTTCCCAGCTGGCACACTCCTCACCTTGGAGGCACAGCCCATGGCTAGGAAGCGGTGCTGCAGACGCAGCCCCAGACTGTCCAACTCCAGAGCCTGTGTGTCACCATCTGAGATTGAGACCAGCAGAGCCCACCCCTGGCCCAGGGCACCTCAGGCAGAACAGCGCTCCAAGGGGCACACAGAGCTCCCACCCCTTGTTAGGGCAGGTCTTGTCAACTCACCACGTGCTCCACTGAGGCCCCTTTTCGGAGGATGATGGCGTCTGTGAAGTCCGGCCTCTCTGCAGGGCAAGATGGGGAGAGCGTCAACCACACACGAGGACCCACACTGCCACCTCATGATTCTGCCCGAGGGAAGAGATGGCTGCAGAGGCCCTTTCAGTCTCCTTGCCTTGGCCTAATGTCCCCGATATACAGCACGCCCTCCGCATATATCCCTGCTCCATCTTCTACAAGCCTTACTTGAACACAGTGACTCAAAATAAAAGTCCAGGATCACACTGCCTACCACCCATCTGCTGTGACAGCACTAACAGAGACTAGGATCTAGACTCAACGGGCAGGACCCAAAGGGATGTTGGAATCTCATGAGGTAAACTGTAGCTCGCTCCTCACGTCTCACTGCCAAGGTCAGGGTTGATGCAAAGTGCTCCGAATTCAGCAGCTGAGACCCCAGGGCATATATGTGTGTGCAACCACCAGGAGGATGGGAGGGGGACAGACACGGGGAGGGCTCTTGTGGATTCAGGTCACTAATGCTCCTGTGGTGGGGTCTGTCACTGTGAGGGGAGGTCAGGATGGCACTAACTGCTGCAGCCACTGAGGACCCCAAGGTAGCCTTGCCCCACCAGGGCACACTCAAAACCAGCAGTGCCCAGTGCTGAGAAGGGAAAAGAGCTGCGATGTGTCTAAATAAGCCAGGCCAGAGCTGGTGCCGGGGTCTCTGGACACCACCCACAGGCCTGGCAGCCTTTTAGGGAGGATGAGGCTCAGCCTGTTTCTCAGCTACACTCAGTGTAACTCACATCCTCTTTTCCTGGTGTAGATGCAGGTCAGGGCCAAGTACTCCCAAAGCATCTCCAGCAGGTAGTCCGAGTTCAGCTTCATGCCGCAGCTGCAAAGAGGGAGGCGGCCAGTCAGGCAGGGGCCCCTGTGAGTCTCCACTTCTTACTATTGCAGGGGACAATTTCTACTGGCCAACATGGGCACCAAGGCCAGCTGGCTCGCCGGTGCCCACAGGGAAACAAGCCCATTACTCTTGATGGCAGCTTGACATTTCTGCTGCCAGTGCCTCTGGACACCAATCATAGTCATAGTCAACCAGGGTCAGCATCTCTCCTGGGGGCTGGCAAGACCGTCCTCTGTGGAGGGTTGTAGCTTGTGTCTGATAAAGGGCTGCCATGGGGAGATGGCTGGGGGCTGTGATGGGACCAAGGGCAAAGGCTGGGACCCAGAGCTCACTCCTTGCAGAGAGGAGCTAGGGATTGCCAGGAAGTCCAACAGGGATTTCAGTATGAAGAGAAGAGAACCGAGGCTTTGGAGGCACCAGGTCTAGGGTGGACCGTGGCTTAATCGTTTGCAGTGTGACCCTGAGATATGTCCTAACCTCTGTAAAGCTGTTCTACACACAAGCAGGTAAAGCTGTAGAGCTGTCGGCCCTGAGGATGGCAGCCGCTCTAAGGCCTGGGACACAGCAAAAGGAGAGGAGCTGAGGCTGTGCTATGGGATGGACACTGCTCTTTGTGGTGGCGACAACAATCATGAAATGGTCCTTGTACTCAGGCCAGGACCCTCAACCACCATTGGCACTGTCCAGCCTCTTGGTCCCTGAGCTCTCTGTACTGTTGGCTGAGCTTCACTGTGAAGCTGCAGAGCACCGGCTTCAAGCCAGGAAACCAGAAAAGGGAAGCACCTGAGTCAGTCTGCCCCAGGGAGGAACCTGCCAGGTGGTGCTAGCAAGTGAACAAACAGCCAGTGTGGGTGGTATCCCTGGGACCCACCCTGCAAAGGAGGGCAGGAATTAGGTGACCAGAGCCTGAGAATGTTAGTTCTTTTTCCCCCTGTGAGCTGTGATCAGACAGAGGGCCTGAGATTTCGGGCCTATACAGGCTGCCAGGGGCTGGGGAGGAACTGGGTCCCCAGAGTTTGCTGCAAGGAAAATTCAAAAGTTGAGCCCGTAGACATGGCCGAGAGGAGGAGCTGGGCCCCAAAACACCTACCTGAAGACGTTCTGGGCCCAGAGAGGATGCCAGCAGGCAAATGCTGGGCCCAGGAGGGCCACCGGGAGGCATCAGCTTGGCCCAACGGGGCCACGGAGAGACTGGGGGTGGGGCCTGTGGATACAGGCTGCCACAGAGGCAGGAGCTGGGCCTGAGCAGAGGCCACGGTGATGCCACAAGCTGGGCCTGGAGGGTCCACTGAAAGGCGGAGGCTGGGCCCAGTATGGGCCTGGCGCAGAGAGAAGCTGGGCCTGGGGAGGCCGGGCACAAAGAGGAAGCTTTGGGCCTGGACAGGCCGCCGGGAGGCAGGAGCTGGCCTGGGAGAGTCTGCGATAGGCGAGCTGTGCTCAGGAAGACCCCTGTGAGGGAGCGCCTGGGCCTAGACTCAAGGCAAGAGTGAGGCGAGAGCTGGGCCCCAATGAGCCACTGTGAAGGAAGCACTGGGCTCCAATGAGCCACTGTGAGGGAAGCGCTGGGCTCCAATGAGCCACTGTAAGGAAAGCACTGGGCTCCAATGAGCCACTGTAAGGAAAGCACTGGGCTCCAATGAGCCACTGTGAGGGAAGCGCTGGGCTCCAATGAGCCACTGTGAGGGAAGCGCTGGGCTCCAATGAGCCACTGTGAGGGAAGCGCTGGGCTCCAATGAGCCACTGTGAGGAGAGCGGTGGGCTCCAATGAGCCACTGTAAGGAAAGCACTAGGCTCCAATGAGCCACTGTGAGGGAAGCGCTGGGCCTGTGGACGCAGCCAGAATGCAGGCAGGCAGGATCTTGGACTGGAAAAGCCATCAGCAGGCAGTAGGTGGTGCTGGGGAGGCTGCAGAGAGTCCAGAGCTGGGCCAGGAGACGCCAATGTCAGGTGGTAGCAGGGCCTGTCAAGGCCACTGGGAGGCAGAACTTGAGAAAGCTTCGGGCCTACAAAGGTCGCTGGAAGCTGGTCAGGGGCCGAGCAAAAAGCAGCTGCTGGGAGGCAGGACGTGGTCCAGTAGATGAGGCCAGGTGGAGAATCCGGGCCTGCGGAGGCCGCCAGAAGGGAGGCATAGGCTGGACCTCCCAGAGAGGCTGAGGGGAGGCAGAAGCTGGGCCCCAGGGGGCCATTGGGAGGCAGCAGCTGGCCCTGGAGGCACCCATGTGAGAATGTTTTCCACCCAAGGAAAGGAGATGCCAGGAGGGCAGGAGCTGGGCCTGGAGAGGCCAAATTCAGGACCCAATACTGGGCCTCACATGGCCAGCAGGAGGAGGCAGCAGGAGCCGAAAGGGGAGAAGCCGACTCAGGAATGTCTGGGGCCTGGAGATGCCCTTAAAAGGGCAGGAGCCAGACCCGGAGGGGCCAGTCATTAGGCATGAGCCAGGTGGGCCTGGAGAGTCTGAGTAGATAATCTGAGCTTTCGGGCCTACAAAGGCTGTCGGGAGCTGGGCAGGAGCCGAGTCCACAGAGGTTTCTATGAGGCAAATTCACATGTTGGGCCTGTAGATGACGAGGAAAGGAGGAGCTGGGCCCCGAGAGGCCGACCTGAAGACGTTCTGGACACTAAAAGGATGTCAGAAAGCCAATGCTGGGCCTGGCAGGGCCCCTGGCAGGCACTGGCTTGGCCCCATGCGGCCACAGAAAGGCCGAAGACTGGGCCTGTGGAAACAGGCTGCCACAAAGGCAGGAGCTGAGTCTGAAGGGTCCTCTGAAAGGGGGAGGCTGGGCCCAAGGGCCTAGTGCAGGCAGGAGCCCAGTGTGGGGAGGCTGGGCCCACAGAGAAAACTTTGGGCTAACAGGCTGCTGGGAGACAGGAGCTGTCTCAGAAGAGTCTGTGACAGGTGAGCTGGGCCAAGAAAGGCATGTGCAAAGGAGGACCTGGGCCCAGACTCAAGGCCAGCACCAGGCGAGAGCTGGCTCCAGAGACGTCTTTCAGAGGCATGAATTGAGCCTCAACTGGCCAGTGTGAGGGAGGCGCTGGGCCTGTGGATGCAGCCAGGATGCAGGTAGGCAAGATCTTGGCCTGCAGAAGCAGCCAGCAGGCAGCGGCTGGGGCTGGGGAGGCTGCGGGGACTCCAGAGCTCGGCCCTGAGGCCCAGTCCTGCTTTGTCCTCCCGCTGGCCTCGGGAGGCCCAAGCATTGGGTCATGAAGTCCGTGTCTGCAGGTCCAGCTCCTGCCCTCCCGGCGGCACCCCCCAACGTGGGTGCAATACATCAGCACGTGGTCCCCTCCGGGGCTAGGTCCTGCATCCCAGTGGCCCCATGGGGCCCAGGTCCTGTTCCCATCAGGCAGTCACTCCAGGAGGCCCAGCCTGTGCCTCCCTACTGGCAGCCTCACCAGGCCTGAACCTTCTCCTGGCCACATCAACCGGCCCAAGTTTTGCACCAGACAGCCTCTTTTGGCTCGGCCTTTCGTCTGTTGACCCAAAGCTTCCTCAGGTGGGGCCTTCTAGGTGTCCCTTCTGTTGAGGCCACTGGGAGGCAGAAGGGATGCCCGAAAGGTGCCACCTGAGGAAGCTTTGGGCCGACAGATGAAACGCCTCCAGGAGATGGCCAGGAGCCGAGCCAAAAGATGCTGCTGGGGACCAGGCGCAGTGGCTCACGCCTATAATTCCAGCACTTTGGGAGGCCGAGACGGGTGGATCACGAGGTCAGGAGATCGAGACCATCCTGGTGAACATGGTGAAACCCTGTCTCTACTAAAAATACAAAAAATTAGCTGGGCATGGTGGTGTGTGCCTGTAATCCCAGCTGCTCAGGAGGCTGAGGCAGGAGAATTGCCTGAACCCAGGAGGCGGACATTGCGGTGAACCGAGATCGTTCCATTGAACTCCAGCCTGGGCAACAAGAGCGAAACTCCATCTCAAAAAAAAAAAAAAAAAATTAGCTGGGCATGGTGCCGTGTGCCTGTAATCCCAGCTACTCAGGAGACTGAGGAAGGAGTATTGCCTGAACCCAAAAGGCAGAGGTTGTGGTGAGCGGAGATCACGCCATTCTACTCCAGCCTGGGTAACAAGAGCGAAAATAGGTCTCAAAAAAAAAAAAAAATACAAAAAATTAGCTGGGCATGGTGGTGCATGCCTGTAATCCCAGCTGCTGAGGAGGCTGAGGCAGAACTGCCTGAACCCAGGAGGCGGACATTGTGGTGAACTGAGATCGTGCCATTGCACTCCAGCCTGGGCAACAAGAGCAAAACGCCATCTCAAAAATAAAATAAAATAAAAAAATTAGCTGGGCACGGTGGGGCGTGCCTGTAATCCCAGCTACTCAGGAGGCTGAGGAAGGAGAATTGCCTGAACCCAAAAGGCGGAGGTTGTGGTGAGCCGAGATCACACCATTCTACTCCAGCCTGGGTAACAAGAGCAAAATTCCATCTCAAAAAAAAAAAAAAAAAAAAATACAAAAAATTAGCTGGGCATGGTGGTGCATGCCTGTAATCCCAGCTGCTCAGGAGGCTGAGACAGGAGAACTGCCTGAACCCAAGAGGCAAAGGTTGAGATGAGCCGAGATCAGGTCATTGCACTTGCGCCTGGGTAACAAAAGAAAAACTCCATCTCCAAAAAAAAAAAAAAGAGGCTGCCAGGGGCAAAACTTGGGCCCGTAGACATGGCCAAGAGGAGGATCCAGGCTTGCAGAGGCCACCAGTATGGAGGCAGTGAATGGGGCTCCAGGAGAGGCTGATGGGAGGCAGGAGCTAAGCCCAGGGGGCCTTTGGGAGGCATGAGCTGGCCCTAGAAGGGCCCATGTGACGACGTTTTGCACCCATGGGGAGGAGATGCCAGGAGAACTGGAGCTGGGCCTGGAGAGGCCGAATTGAGAACCCAGTGGTTGGGCCTGCAGAAGCCAATAGGAGGAGTCCAGACCCGGGCCTGGAGAAGCCGACTCTGGGACATCTGGGGCCTATAGGAACCCTGGCTGGGCAGAAGCTGAGCCTGAAGACGCCAGCGTGAGGCATGACCTGGGTAGTCTTGAGGAGCCTGAGTTGAGGGCCTGAGCTTTCTGGCCTACAAAGGCCTCCGGGAGCTGGGGAGGAGCCGAGTCCACAGAGGTTGCTGCGAGGCGAGAATGGAAGATTGGCCCTTAGAAGCCGCCGGAAGGAGGGCCTGGGCCCCAAGAGGCTGACCTGAAGACACTCTGGACAAGGAGAGGATGCCAGAAGGCCAACGCTGGGTATGGAAGGGCCGCCTGGGGCACCAGTTTGGCCCGAGGGGGCCACCAGGAGGCTACAAGCTGGGCCTGTGAAGACAGAGGCAGGAGCTGGGCTGAGCAGAGGCCATGATGAGGCCACAAGCTGGGTCTGGAGGGTCCACTGAGAGGCGTAGGCTGGGCCCAGAGAGGCGGGGCCCAAAGAGGAAGCTTCGGGCCTGGACAGGCCGCTGGGAGGCAGGAGCTGGCCAGAGCGTTTATGAGAGGCGAGCTGGGCCAAGAAAGGCTGGTGCGAGGGAGGGCCTGGGTCCAGACTCAAGGCCAGCACCAGGCGAGAGCTGGCTCCAGAGATGTACTGCAAAGGCATGAATTGAGCTTCAACTGGCCAGTGTGAGGGAGGCGCTGGGCCTGTGGAGGCAGCCAGGATGCAGGCAGGCAGGATCTTGGCCTGCGGAAGCAGCCAGCAGGCAGCAGCTGGGGCTGGGGAGGCTGGGGGGACTCCAGAGCTCAGCCCTGAGGCCCAGTCCTGCTTTGTCCTCCCGCTGGCCTCAGGAGGCCCAAGCATTGGGTCATGAAGTCCGTGTCTGCAGGTCCAGCTCCTGCCCTCCCGGTGGCACCCCCCAACGTGGGTGCAATACATCATCACGTGGTCCCCTCCGGGGCTAGGTCCTGCATCCCAGTGGCCCCTGAAACCCAGGTCCTGATTCCCATCACACAGCCTCTCCAGGAGCCCCAGCCTCTGCCTCCCTACTGGCAGCGACACCAGGCCTGGCACCCCCTCCTGGCCACATCTACAGGCCCAAGTTTTGCCCCTGGCAGCCTCTTTTGGCTTGACTCCTGGCCAGCTCCCAGAGGCCTTTCACCTGTCGGCCTAAAGCTTCCTCAGGTGGGGCCTTCCGGGCATCCCTTCTGCCTCCCAGTGGCCTCAACAGAAGGGACACTGAGGAAGCTTTGGGCTGACAGACGAAAGGCCTCCGGGCACTGGCCAGGAGCCGAGCCAAAAGACACTGCTGGGGACCAGGCACAGCAGCTCACGCCTGTAATCCCAACACGTTGGGAGGCCGAGGCGGGTGGATCACGAGGTCAGGAGATCGAGACCATCCTGGTCAACATGGTGAAACCCCGTCTCTACTAAAAATACAAAAAATTAGCTTGGCATGGTGGTGTGTGCCTGTCATCCCAGCTACTCAGCAGGCTGAGGCAGGAGAATTGCCTGAACCCAGGAGGGAGAGGTGGCAGTGAGCCGAGATCACGCCACTGCACTCCAGCCTAAGGAACAAGAGCAAAACTCCGTCTCAAAAAGAAAAAAAACCATTAGTTGGCCACGGTGGTGTGTGCCTGTAATCCCAGTTACTCAGCGGGCTGAGGCAGGAGAATTGCCTGAACCCAGGAGGCAGAGGTTGCGGTGAGCCGAGATCACGCCATTGCACTCCAGCCTGGGCAACAAGAGCAAAACTCCGTCTCAAAAAAAAAAAAAAAAAAAATTAGCTGGGCACAGTGGCAGGTGCCTGTAATCCCAGCGACTCAGGAAACTGAGGCAGTAGAATTGCCTGAACCCAGGAGGCAGAGTTTGCGGTGAGCCAAGATCGCACCATTCTACTCCAGCCTGGGTAACAGGAGCGAAACTCTGTCTCAAAAAAAAAAAGAAACAAATTAGCTGGGTATGGTGGCATGTGCCTGTAACTCCAGCTACTCAGGAGGCTGAGGCAGGAGAATTGCCTAAACCCAAAAGGCGGAGGTTGAGGTGAGCCGAGATCACGTCATTGTACCCACGCCTGGGAAACAAGAGCAAAACTCCATCTCTTGAATAAAAAAAAAAGAAAAAGAGGCTGCCGGGGGCAAAACTTGGGCCCGTAGGTGTGGCCAGGAGGAGGATCCAGGCCTTGAGAGGCCGCCAGTACAGAGGCAGATGCTGGGCCTTCAGGAGAGGCTGATGGAAGGCAGGAGCTAAGCCCAGGGGGCCTTTGGGAGGCATGAGCTGGCCCTAGAAGAACCCACATGATGACGTTTGCACCCATGGGGAGGAGACACCAGGAGAACTGGAGCTGGGCCTGGAGAGGCCGAATTGAGAACCCAGTGTTTGGGCCCGCAGAAGCCAATAGGAGGAGTCCGAAACCGGGCCTGAAGAAGCCGACTCTGGGACATCTGGGGCCTATAGGAACCCTGGGTGGGCAGAACCTGAGCCTGGAGAGGCCAGCATGAGGCATGAGCTGGGTAGTCCTGGAGAGCCTGAGTCAAGGGCCTGAGCTTTTGGGCCTACAAAGGCCTCCAGGAGCTAGGGAGGAACCGAGCCACAGAGGTTGCTGCGAGGCAAGAACGAAAGGTTGGCCCTAAGAACCCGCCAGAAGGAGGGGCTGGGACCAAAGAGGCTGACATTCTGGACAAGGAGAGGATGCCAGAAGGCCAACGCTAGGCACAGAGGGCTGCCTGGGGGCACCGGTTTGGCCCGAGGGGGCCACCAGGAGGCCAGGAGCTGGGCCTGTGGAGACAGGCTGCCACAGAGGCAGGAGCTGGGCTGAGCGCAGGCCACGATGAGGCCACAAACTGGGTCTGGAGGGTCCACTGTTAGGTGGAGGCTGGGCCCAGAGGGGCCTAGCGCAGGCAGGAGCCAGGCCTGGAGAGGCTGGGTCTGGAGAGGAACCTTCGGGCCTGGACAGGCCGCCAAGAGTCAGGAGCTGGCCTAGGAGAGACGGTGATAGGTGAGCTGGGCTGAGGAAGGCTGCTGCGAGGGAGGACCTGGGCCTAGACTGAGGCCAGCGTGAGGTGAGAGCTGGGTCCGGAGAGGTTTGCCACAGGCATGGGCTGGGCCCCAGTGGCCACTTTGAGGGAGGTAGTGGGCCTGTGGAGGCAGGATGCAGGCAGGAAGGCAGTCAGGATCTTGGCCTGGGGAAGCCGTTGGCAGGTAGCAGCTCATCATAAGGAGGCTGCAGGGATGCCAGATCTGGCCCTGGAGAGGATATTGTCAGGTGGTAGCTCGGCCTGTCCAGGCCACCGGGAGCTGGTCAGGAGCCGAGTCAAAAGAGGTTGTTGGGAGGTAGGACATGGGCCTGTAGACATGGCCAGGAGTAGGAGCCAAGCCTGAGGATGCCACCAGGAGTGATCAGAGGCTGGGTCTCCTGGAGAGGCCGACAGGGTCCAAGGGGGCCATTGGGAGGCAGGAGCTGGCCCAGAAGGGGCCCACATGAGGAAGTTTTGAGCCTGGAGAGGCCACCTAGTGGGTAGGAGCTTGGCCTAATGAAGTCAGTGTCAGGCAGCAGCTGGGCCTCTCAAGGCTGCTGGGAGGCCGGCAAGAGCTTTGCCAGGGAAACCTTCATGAGGTAAGAGTTGGTCCTGGAGAGTCTATTGTCATCCAGTAGCTATGCCTGTTTAAGCCATTGTTCCTCAGAAGTTTCTGCTGGGGAACTTGAGTTGAGAACGTTTTTGGCCTACAAAGGCCACCAAGAGCTGTGTAGGAGCTGATCCAAAGAAGGGGGTCAGGCAGGAGTTGGTCCTGGAGATGCAACTGGGAGGAAGAGCTGGACATGGAAAGGCCCACTTCAGGAAGTTCTGGGCCTGGAGACACTGCCAAAAAGTAAAAGCTTGATCAGAATGGCCGTTGTGATGCATGAGCTTCACCTAGACAGGCCATTGGGAGGCATTAGCTGGGCCTGCAGATGCTGCCGAAAGGCAGAAGCTTAGCCTGGGGGCACTGTGGTGAGGCACACACTTGGCCTGGGGTGTCTGCTGTGAGGCAGAGTTTAAGCCTACTGGGGCCGACTGGAGGCAGGAGTTGGACCTGGAATGGCAGATTTCAGAAATCTGTCAGTACGGAGAGGCCACAAAGATGCAGGAACTGGGCCTCAAGAGGCCGCCCAAAGGCATGAGCTGCACCTAAAGAGTCCAGTGTGAGACAGAAGCTGTGCCTGAAGAGGGTGACTAGAAGTTTTGGCCTGGACAGCCTGTCAGGGGACAGATGCTGGGTCTGGAGAGGCCACTGTGAGCTGGTCCTAATGAGGTTAGAGTGAGACAACACCTGGGCTTGTCAAGGCTACCAGGAGGCAAGTAGAAACCTGTTCAAGGAATACCTGTGAGGCAAAAGCTAGGCCTGCAGAGGCCACTGGGAGGAAAGAGCTGGGCCTGTCCAGGTCATCGGAAGGCTCAAGGTGGGCCTGAAGAGCTTGACTTGAGGCAGTTGGATCACGAGGTCAGGAGATCGAGACCATCCTGGTCAACGTGGTGAATCCCCATCTCTACTAAAAATACAAAAAAGAACCGATGTCAGAGAAGTAAGAACATTACAGTGTGTGTTGAAGTACCTGTAAAACATTGTTTCTTTGCCTTTGTAAACAATGTGTCTACTAAAAGTCCTTGCTCTCAAAAGAATATGTGGGAATAAATCATTAGAATGTGTTCTTCTGTTTTTTACTTTTATCTTCCTGCCACAGGCTTACTTTAGAAATTTTTATTTTTTTAGAAAATTGAACAAGTGCTTGTTGTGGTGGATCATGCCTATAGGATGGGAGGCAGGGGTGGAAAAGTCACTAGAGGCCAGGATTTTGACACCAGCCTGACCAACAAAGTGAGATCCAATGTGTATGAAAACATTTAAAAATTAACCAGGTGTCATCATGTATAGCTACAGTCCCAGCTACTCAGGAGGCTGTGGCAGGAGGATCCTTAGCTCAGGAGTGCAAGCCTGCAGTGACCTGTGATTGCACCACTGCACTCCAGTCTAGGTGACAGAGACCCCATATCCTAAAAGAAAAAAAAAATGGATCACGTAGCAAGTTGTATGTGGCTTGCTCTGAATATTTCTAAACTAGAAGTTCTCAGAGTAATGCTTCTAAATCTTTTGGAATCTAGCATCCCGTTACATTTTTTAACTTTATGTAAGATTTCTAAGACTTTTTCTTTACATAAATAATTACATTAAAGTTAAAAAATAAAATGAACTTTTAAAAACATTTTTATTCATTACATGTTAATAATAAAAAACATTACATGTTATTATAACTAATATAAAACAAACATTTTAAAATATTTTATCCATTACCTATTAATAATAAAACTGGTTGGGCGAGATGGCTCATGCCTATAACCCCAGCTCTTTGGGAGGCTGAGGTGGGTGGATCACCTGAGGTCAAGAGTTTGAGACTAGCCCTCCAACATGCTGAAACCCTGTCTCTACTAAAAAATACAAAATTAGCCAGGTGTGGTGGCAGGCACCTGTAATCCCAGCTGCTTGAGAGACTGAGGCAGGAGAACTGCTTACACCCGGGAGGCAGAGTTTGCAGTGAGTCAAGATCATGCCATTGCACTCTAGCCTAGGTAACAAGAGCAAAACTCCATCTTAAACAATAATAATAAAATTATTAAGTAGTAATATAAGTAATCCTTTTGTTTCTTTGAGACAGAGTCTCGCTCTTTCCCCAAAACTGGAATGAAGCATGTAACCTCGGTTCACTGCAATCTCTGCCCCACCTCCCGGTTCAAAGGATTCTCCTGTCTCAGCCTCTGAAGTAGCTTGGATTACAGGTACCTGCCACCATGCCTGGCTAATCTTTGTATTTTTGTCTTGTTTTTCTTTCTTTCTTTTTTTTTTTTTGACGGAGTTTTGCTCTTGTTACCCAGGCTGGAGTGCAATGTCATGTTCTTGGCTCACCGCAATTTCATCTCCTGGGTTCAGGCAATTCTCCTGCTCGGCCTCCTGAGCAGCTGGGATTACAGGCACGTGCCACCGTACCCAGCTAATTTTTTGTATTTTTAGTAGAGACAGGGTTTCACCTTGGTGACCAGGATGGTCTCAATCTCTAGACCTTGTGATCCATCCGCCTCGGCCTCCCAAAGTAATCTTTGTTTTTTAATAGAGATATGAAAAAAATAAGAAAAAAAAAATAGAGATAAGGTTTTGCCATGTTGGCAAAGCTGGTCTTGAACTCCTGACCTCACGTAATCCACCCACCTCATTCTCCCAAAGTGTTGAAAATGCACTGCACCCGGCCCGATTAATGTGTTTTTTAAAACACTGATTAGTCAGGCAACAACACTGGGCAGGGGTCTCCTCATTCCCAGTGATAAAAACCCCACTGCATGGCTCCAGGGTTGCAAGGGCTGCAGAGCCAAAAGGCTCTGACTTGAGATTTCATTACTTTATTTGTATTGTGAGACAAGGTCCTTCTTTGTCACCCAGGCTGGAGTGCAGTTGTGCACTTATAGCTCACTGCAGCCTCAATGTCCTGGGCTCAAGCCATCTTCCTGCCTCAGCTCCCGAGTGCTGGTACTACAGTTGAGTGCCATCATACCTGGCTAATTTTTTATTTTTCTTGTAGAGTGTGGAGTCTTACTATGTTGCCCAAGCTGGCCTCAAACTCCAGACCTCAAGAGATCTGCCCACCTCAGCCTCCTGAGTAGCTGAGACTACAAGTACACATCACCATGCGTAGCTACATTTATTTTATTAAATTTTGAAAAATATTTTTGTAGAGAGGAGGTCTTGCTATGGTGCCCAGGCTGGTCTTGAACTTCTGCCCTTAAAAGATACTCCCATCTCTGCTTCCCAAACTTCTGGGACTACAGACATGAGCCACTGCACTGCGCCTGAAGAGATTTCTTTAATATAGCATCCCATATTTGGTAACACTGGGAAAGGCAGTAGAGTTTTTAAATTTACTTAATAATTCAATAAGAATCAAACTCAACCTCGACCCCTGCCTTCTCTCACACCCCACATCCAGTCTGTCAGGAAATCCTGTTCATTGTCTTCACCATGTACTGAAGATCCCCACCCAGCAATTCCCTGGACTCCTCCCCTACTTCTCTCCTCTGACCATCTCTCACCACCCCCATGACCCTGGTCAGGACCACTATCATCTTCCACCTGGATGTTACCACAGTTTGACCCCCATGCTTCCACCCAAATCTTCCCAGTCTTTCTCAACTCAGCAGCCAGAGAATGCTTTTACATCAGGAGACAGATCATGTCGCCTCTCTTCTCAGAACCCTCCCACAATTCCCATTTCATAGTAAAAGCCAAAGCCCCAGCAATAACCTCCCAGAACTTACACGTTCTATACTGATCCCCACCCAGCAACTCCATGGCCTCCTCCCCTAATTCTCTCCCCATCTCCTGCTCCACTGGCCTCTTTCCAGAGCCTCAGACACTTTATTCTGTTGTTTCTGCCCACAATGCTCCTCCTTAAGCACCTCGGCCAGCTCCTTCCCCTCCAAGTCTTTGCTCAGTTTTCACTTAGGAGGCCACCCCTGATCTTTCTATTTAACATTGCCATCTGTCCCCACTCCCACCGTGTTTTGTTTTTTTTTAAACAAGATCTCACTCTATCACCAAGGCTGGAGTGGAGTGGTGCAATCACAGCTCGCTGCAACCTCGAATTCCTAGGCTCAACTGATCCTCCCACCTCAAGACTCCCTAGTAGCTGGAATGATAGGTGCATGCCATCATGCCTGGCTAATTTGTTTTATTTTGAAATGGAGTTTCACTCTTCTTGCCCAAGCTGGAGTGCAATGGTGCAATCCCAGCTCACTGCAACTTCCACCTCCCAGGTTCAAGTGATTCTTCAGCCTCAGCCTCCCAAGTAGCTGGGATCACAGGTGTGTGCCACCATGCCTGGCTAATTTTTGTATTTTTAGTAGAGATAGGGGTTTGCCATGTTGACCAGGCTGGTCTCAAACGCCTGACCTCAGGTGATCCTTGGCCTCCCAAAGTGTTAGGATTACATGAGTGAGCCACTACATCCGGTCAATTTAATTTTTTGTAGAGCCAGGGTCTCACTATGTTGCCCAGGCTGATCTTGGACTCCTGGCCTCAAGTGGTCCTCCTGCCGGGATTCCCAAAGTGCTGGGATTACCAACATCACACACGATGCTTGGCGTCAGGTTTATTTCCTCTTGCTGCTGCCATAAACTACCCTACATTAGTCCCTTAAAACACCACAAATCTACCAACTTACACTTCTGGGACTCAGAAGCACAAATTAGGTCTATTAAGGCTAAAGTTAAGGTGTCAGCAGAACTGCATTCCTTCTGGAGGCTCTAAAATGTTCCCTTGGCTTTTCCAGCTTCTAGAAGCCACTCCCATTCCTTGGATCATGGCCCTTACCTCCATCTTCAAAGCCAGAAGTGAAACATCTGCAAATCTCCCTCTCTAATTCTGCTTCCACCAACACATCTCCTGCTCCAATTCTCACTCTTCTAACCTCTTTCTTTTATAAGGATCTTTGTGGCTGCTGGGCATGGTGGATCCCACCCATAACCTCAATACTTTGGGAAGTCAAGGCGGGAGGAACATTTAAGGCCTGGAGTTTGAAACTAGCCTGGACAACATAGTGAGATCCCACCTCTACAAAAGCATAAAAATTAATATTAGCCAGACATAGTGGTGTGCACCTGCAGTCCCAGCTACTTGAGAGGCTGAGGTGAAATAACAGCTTTAGCCCAGGAGTTTGAGATCAGCCTGGGCAACATAACTAAATCTTGTCTCTACACAAATGAGCTTGGCATGGGTGACATGCATGTGTAGTCCCAGCTACTCTGAAGTCTGAGGTGGGAAGATCACTTGATCTCAGGAGGTCAAAGCTATCGTGAGCTATGATTATATTACTGTGCTCCAGCCTGGATGACACAGGGAGAGTCTGTCTCAAAAAAAAAAAAACAAAATAAATATATATTTGCTCTCTGTCCCTGGTTCCTGGCACAGAGCTTTGAATGCTTATAAAGACCTCAGTGATAGAGGTGATAGGAGCATCTTTACTTTTAATATTTGGTCTTGGTCCCAGCTTTCTAACACAAGAGACTCTAAGAACTTTGGAATCTTCAGCATGCTAAGAATGCATTTGGGGATGTGGTTGAGATGACTGGGTGGCTGCAAACTCCTGGATTTCTTCAGGAGGAGAGCTGATTGCCAGAGAAAGCAATCACATGATTAGAGGCTTAGAACTTTTAGCCTCATCTGCTGAACTCCAGGAGGTGAGAGTGGCTGAAGATTGACTTAATTACCAGTGGCCAAAGATTTTAGCAATCAGGCTTGCATAACAGAGCCTCTGTAAACACCCTGAACAACAGGGTTTGCAGAGCTTCTGGTTGCTGAATACAGGAGGTCCTGGGAGGGCGGCATGTTGAACAGAGGGCATGGAAGCTCTGTGCACATCCCACTTACCTTCCCCTGGGCATCCATCTTTCTTTCATTTCTTTCTCCCTTTCCTTCCTTTCTTTCTCTTTCTTTTTTTTTTTTGAAGACAGGGTCTGGCTCTTTTGTCCAGGCTAGAGTGCAGTGGCACAATTTCAGCTCACCACAACCTAAGTTTCCCCAGTCCCCAGCTCAATGCATCCTCACCTCAGCTTTCCTAGTAGCTGTAACAGGTGCACACCACCACACCTAGTTATTTATTTATTTTCATTTATTTTTTGAGAAAAAATCTTGCTCAGAAGCTTAGGCTAAAGTGCAGTAGTGTGATCTCAGTTCACTGCAACCTCTGCATACTGGGTTCAAGTGACTCTCCTGTCTCAGCCTCCTGAGTAGCAGGAATTACAGGTGCATATCAACATGCCCAGCTAATTTTTGTATTTTTTATAGAGAGAAGGTTTCACCATGTTTCCCAGGCTGAACTCAAACTCCTGCATTTGTGATCCTCCCAACTCAACCTCCCGAAGTGCTGGGATCACAGGCATGAACCACTGCATCGAGCATGCATGTCGCTTTCACTGGCTGTTTCTGAGACATATCCTTTATAGTGAACCAAAAATAGGAAATGAACTCACCAGATGTGGTGGCTCACATCTGTAATCCCAGCACTTTAAGTGACTGAGGTGCGAAGATCACTTGGGCCCAGGAATTTGTGGCCAGCCTGGGCAACAAAAGATCCCATCGCTAAAAAAATAAATAAATAAATTAGCCAGATGTGGTGGTGCAGGCTGCAGTCTCAGCTACTAGGAAGGAAGGAGGACCACTTGGGCCCAGGCAGTTGAGGCTGCAGTGAGTTATGACTGCAACACTGCACACCAGCCTGGAAAACAAAATGAGACCCTGTCTCTCAGAAAAAAAGAAAATAAACTGATTTTCTGAGTTCTATAAGCTGTTCCAACAAATGATTAAATCAAAAAAGGGGGTCATGAGAACCCCTGATTTGTAATAGGTTGGTCAAAAGTACAGGTGAAAACCTAATACTTGCCATTGGCATCTGAAGTGAGGGCAGTCTCATGGGACTAAACGCCTAACCTGCAAGGTCTGCGCCAGCTCCAGGTAGTGTCAGAATAACATTGTGGGATACCCAGTTAATATCCAGAACACTAGAGAATTTGGTGTATAAGCTCCACACACACAGTCAGTCAAAGTGTGTGACGAGAGAAACATGGGCTTTTCTTTCACCTACCTGCCTAACTGCATAGGAGAAGCAATACATGGTGCTCATGAAAAGAGCAAGCATTAAAGTCATACCAGTCCCTACATCTGACTCAGCTTAATATCCATGTGAGCTTGGGCAAATCACTCATTATCCCTAAGTCTGTACCACCTCATTCAGGAAATGGGGATAACTGGTACCTGCCTCTGATTTTGTGAGAATTCATGAGCTATTATGCTTGATGTTACTGTGATCATCACACCTATTCCAAATTATCTGACAGAAACAGTAATGGATGATAACATTACCAGATTAGAAACTGTAGTGAGGTCTCTTAGGCAAAATTCCATACAAGCAAATTACTGTCTCTCCAAAGCATTCCTGCCACACTTAATTCCCCATTCCCTGAACCAAATGTGCCATCTTAATTGTCCAGGTCTTTAAAGTGCTGGTTTCCCTGACCATTCCCCATCCCTCCACATCCCCCTTCGCTCCCTACTGTCACACAACTCCTCATCTTTCAAAAGCCAGTTTCACTGTCACCTTATCTGGAAGCTTCTCCCACTCTCCAGAAGAGCTTCCCATTGCACTTGATGCATGCACTATGGTTTGATCATTTTTGAGTTATTGTCCAAGTCTTTTTGTACCTGAATAACATGATGCCCAGTCTCCTCCTGAACTCTGATGTCTTTCATGGTAGATCCAGCTGGAAGTGACAAAAAGACATTCTTTAAAAATAAAAGGAATCAGGCAATCCCATAAAAGTTTTAAAAGATATGTGAAAAGCAAACAAAATTCAAGAGCTTCTAGGAAAAACATAAGAGGGAAGGTGTTACTGGGAAATATGCTAAAGGGTTAATTTTTATTGTATTTTACTTTTTTGAGAAACAATCTTGCTCTATCCCCTAGGCTGGACCGCAGTGGTACAATCACAGCTCATTGCAGCCTCAACCTCCAGAACTTTAGCAATCTTCCAACCTAATTTTTACTTTATTTAAGAAACACATTCTTACTGTTACCAAAGCTGGAGTGCAGTGGTGTGATCACAGCTTACTGCAGCCTCGACCTCCTAGGCTCAAGTGATCCTCCAGTCTCAGACTCCCCAGTAGCTGGGATTACAGGTGTGGACCGCAATGTCCAGCTCACGTTATCTTTAATTTTTATTAGAGACCATGTGCTATGTCGACGAGGCTGGTGGTGATCCTTTTCCCTCAAGCAATTCTCCCACCTCAGCCTTCCAAAGTGCTGGGATTATAGGTGTGAGCTGCCACACCTGCTGAGGAGGTTAATTTTTAATGACATAAAGAGCTCAAAGCAAATATTAGAAGGAGCCTAAATGGCTATAGAGGCTGACTGGTCAACTGTGATATATCCATATAATAAAACATTAGCCAACCATGAAAAGGATTCAGATACATCAATAGAAATTGACACAGATGTCCACAAAATATGAAAATGAGAAGTGATATTCAATCAGCCCATATATATTTGAAGAATATGGCCAATTATTTCCTGAGATAAGATTATGGGTCTAAAGAGTAAAGGAAATTTTTCACTTCTTCATTTAAAAGTATTTACTATTTTTATAATTTAATAAAAGATTAAATATATAGATCATCTAATTAGTAAAAGACATGTTAACACTGCAAATAAACAGAAAAGACATGGACAGCCCAACCTTGGCGGCTGATGCTTATAATAGCAGCACTTTGGAAGGGGGCAGTCGGAGAATTGCTTGAGGCCAGGAATTCCAGACCAGACTGGGAAACATAGCAAGACCTCACCTCTATTAAAAATCAAAAAAATTAGCCAGACATGGTGGCATGTGCCTATAGTCCCAGTTACTGAGGTGGAAGGATCACCTGAGCCCAGGAGGTCAAGGCTGCAGTGAGTTGAGACTGTACCACCATACTCAAGCCTGGGCTACAGAGTGAGACTTGGTCTCCCAAAAAAAAAAAGGGGGAGCAAAAAAGAAAGCTAGCTGGGCACAATAGCTCACACCTCTAATCCCAGCATTTTGGGAGGTTGGATCACGAGGTACGGAGTTGGAGACCAGCCTGAAAAACATGGAGAAACCCTGTCTCTATTGAAAATACTTAGCCAGGTATGGTGGCACATGCCTGTAATTCCAGCTATTCTGCAGACTGAGGCAAGAGAATGGCTTGAATCCAACAGAAGGAGGTTGCAGTCAGCAGACATTGTGCCATTGCACTCCAGCCTAGGCAACAAGAGTGAAACTTCATCTGAAAAAGAAAGAAAGAAAAAGAAAGCTAATAAACTAATATAAGAAAATATATATTAAAATGTAACAAAAATAAAGTATTAATGAGGTCTTTTATTTACTAAAAATAATCAAACAAAAAATAACTTGTTATTGTACCCCATGCCAGCAAAGGTTCAGAGAAATGGGCATTTTCTTTTACTATTAGTGATGTTTAAATTGTATACAAGCCTTCCACCAGGGTAAAGCTTGGAAATTTTTAAAATAGGATACAGTGACTCACTGTACTGCCTCCTCCAACTCCTGGCCTCAAGCGATCCTCCCACCTCAGCCTCCCAGAGTGTTGGAATTATAGGCCGACAGCCACCATGCCTGAAAGCTCGGCAGTTTACATCAAGTATAATAAGAATGCTAATGTCCTGTGACTCACAGTAATCTCATTTCTGGAAAAATCATCTTCGAATACAATTCAACCTCAACAAAAGGTCATATGCACAAATAGTGAAAATCTAGGAGTAATATTTTTCTGTTTTAAAAACATATGGAACACTTCACAAATCTGAACGTCATTCTTGCACAGAGGCCATGCCAATCTCTCTATTGTTCCAACTTTAGGATATGTGCTACTGAAGCAAGCACGAGTAATTTAAGATAGAGCGGTTAGGCAAAATAAGGAAGAATTATGGGGAATTTAAAAATCTATGGTATTTATAGGCACCTAGTAACAGCTCAGTAAATATTAGCTGCTACTTTTATTATTTTTATGGTAATTCCACTCAATTAAAAATTGTCATTAAAAATTTACCACTGTCATGGAACATCATGTATTTAACAGCATAATTGTAAAAACACATAGAGGCTGGGTGCGGTGGCTCACACTTGTAATACCAGCACTTTGGGAGGCCAAGGCAGGTGGATCACCTGAGGTCAGGGGTTCAAGACTGGCCTGACCAACATGGAGAAACCCCATCTCTACTAAAAAATACAAAATTAGTCAGGTGCGGTGGTGCCTGTAATCCTAGCTACTCAGAAAGCTGAGGCAGGGGAATCACTTGAACCTGGGAGGTGGAGGTTTTGGTGACCTGAGAGTGCACCATTGCTCTCCAGCCTGGGAGAAAAGAGCAAAGCTCCATCTCAAAAAGAAAAAAAAAGTCCCAGCACAGTGACTCACAGCTGTCATTCCAGCACTTTGGGAGGTTGAGGCCAGGTAGATCACCTGAAGTCAGGAGTTCAAGACCAGTCTGGCCAACATAATGAAACCCTGTCTCTACAAAAATACAAAAATTAGCTCAGCATAATAGCAGGTACCTGTAATCTTAGCCTACTCAACTCTGGGAGGTGGAGGTTGCAGTGAGCTGAGATTGTGCCATTGCACTCCAGCCTAGGCAACAGAGCAAGACTGTCTCAAAGACAAAACAAAACAGATACAATTTGTCCCTTGGTATATAAGGAGATTGGTTCCAGCTGCCCAATATCCACGTATACCAAAATCCATGCAAGCATCTGTAGTCCCAGCTACTTGTGAGGCTGAGGAAGGATTGCTTTCGCCCAGGAGGTTGAGGCTGCAGTGAGCCGTAATTGCACCACTGCACTCCAGTCTCGGCAACAGAGTGAGAAAGAAGGTTGACTTTTAAATATAATTTTTCAGTTCACTTGAGATGTTGATCAGAACTGTAGCATATGAAAATTCTTCATAGAATAATTAATCAAATTAATGCTAGAATTGGGACAGAAAATGTTTTGTTGACTCTTTATTCCTTCACTTGCTGTTACATTAATTATTGCCAGTGGGCACTTACCAACCAGAAGTGTTATCTCAGAGCTACTCACAATGAAAGGTGATGTCCAGGGCCCAGGTGTGTTCAGGTCTCCATGCCTTGGCTATGGGTGAGTGGGACTTATATGTCCATCCATTTTCTATATTCCTGCTCTGGAAAACTTGGGTTTATCCATCTTGATAAGATGCACTTTAAATTTAACTCAGCAAGAACCACAAATGGAAGAAAGGTTATGAAACCACAGGATAGTACTTGTTCTCAAGGGACTCTTCAGCTTAGGTGCTTCTGTAAAAAAGGAATGACATTGTCAAAAGCTAATCACAGGTCAGGTGAGGTGCCTCACATCTATAATCCCAGCCCACTGGGAGACTAAGACAGGAGGATCCCGTGAGGCAAAGAATTTAAGATCAGCCTTGGCAACACAGTGAAACCTCATCTCTACAAAAAAAAAAAAAAAAAAAAAAAAAAAAAATTAAAAAATGAGCTGGGTATGGCAGCACATTTCTATAGTCCTAGCTACCCTGGAGGCTTAAGTGGGAGAAGAGTTGAACCCAGGAAGTGGAAGCTGCTGTGAGCAATGATCTCACCACTACACTCCAGCCTGGGTGACAGAGTGAGACCATGTCTACACACACACACACACCCCTCAGTCTGTCCAGCCTTCACTAATGAAAAGGGTCTTCCCGTTACAGAAGAGGTGTGCTCTTTTGTAGGACAGGAAGGGATCAGCAAGCGTGTCCACAGCCTTTCCTCATCCTCTGCATAGTTTCCCAAGAACCTTCAGGGGAGTCCCGAGGGAAAGGACATAAATCTTCTGGTTACCAGAGGAGAAATATGCCTCCTTTGTCAATTAACAAATGGAACACCTGCCATGAACACCAGGAAATTCTAAGATGAACCACTCCCCACGACACTGACCTATGCCGCAAAAATGAGAAACTGAAGTTTGTGGACTAATAATATTGAAGGTCACATTCCAGATTGTGGAGATCTAACCAAAGTACAGCCTTTCCACAAGGCACTGCCAAATAACAGCTGGCTGTCTCCATGGGGCACTGCCGTATCTCTGGCTCTCATTTCCCCGAGAGATGCTCTATTCCAGCTTTCTCTTGCATTTTGTATTCTGTAGTTCCTGGGGTAAAACCTCACAACATAGCAAACTGCTGACTCAATGCTGACCTACAGATCTGACTTCAGATTCTAGCAGGATTCTTTCAGCTTAAGAAATTAAAGAGGAGAATAAATGGACCCAGCCTGGCACTGCCAGCTTAGCAGTCGTAGAAGCTGCTCAAAATGACTACAGTGCTTCTGACTTTCTGAGTCTGCCCTTGCTCCTAGGGCTCTTTGGATGACATTTATTTCTCCTTGTGGAAGAAATGGTTTTCTAGAATATAAAAAACTTAAGGAAGAATAAAATATTAAAATATAATTTTCTCCTAAAGAGCACTCAAAAGTATACTCCCACTAGTGCTGAATCTATTTATCTCTCTCTCTTTGTTTTTTCTTCTGAGATTGGGTCTCTCTCTGTTACCAAGACTGGAGCACAGTGGTGAGGTCACAGCTCACTGCAGCTTTCAGCTCCTGGGCTAAAGCGATCCTCCCACTTCAGCCTCCCAAGCAGCTGGGATTACAGGTGCATGCCACCATGCCTAATTTTTTAAATTTTTTGTAGAGAAGGCCACTATGTGGCCTAGGCTGGTCTTGAACTCCTAGATCAAACTAATCCTCCTGCCTTGGCCCCCCAAAGTGCTGGAATTATAGGCTTTAGCCACCACACCCAGTCTATTTTCATATATATATATATATACACACACACACACACACACACACACACATATATACATATATACATATACAAAATCTCATATATTATATGATCCTTAAATTGCCACCTACCCACCCATCTGCAGGGAGAGCAAACACAGGTCTCAGCAGATCAGGCAACCTACATGAAGAAAGAAGGCTGGAGTAATGCCAGAGCCAAGGAGGAACTGTAGCAAATGGCAAGGTATTCACTTCAAAGGTTTTTCAACATTGTGATGGTCAAACCAAACACAGAAACAGGAAGCCCAGTTCAGTCACCAGCAGCCAACATGGGATATTTGATCTACATGCTACAGGGCAAACTGTTTAGGATGAATGACCTTGTCTCCACCACCCCGTTCTTCAAGTCCCTCCTGCCCAGTAGTCCCTACACTCTGCTGACATGACCCACATACACAGGACTCTCCTGATACCTTTGCTTGTTTAGTCTTTTTTCCCCAATGACTATTTTCTTTTTGGATACAGAGTTCACCTCTGTCACACAGGCTTGAAGTAAAGTGAGGTGATTATGACTCACTGCAGATTCCATCTCCTGGGCTCAAGTGATCTTGCCTCCCAAATAGTTGGGATTACAAGCATGTACCACCATACCTAGCTAAGTTTGCTATGATGATGATTATTATTTTGAGATGGAGTCTCACTCTATCATCCAGGCTGGAGTGCAGTAGCACGATGTAGGCTTACTGCAACCTCTGCCGCCTGGGTTCAAGTAATTCTCTTGCCTCGGCCTCCTGAGTAGCTGGGATTACAGGCATGCACCAGCAAGCCCAGCTAATTTTTGTGTTTTAGTAGAGATGGGGTTTCACCATGTTGGCCAGAATGATCTCAATCCCTTGACCTTGTGATCTGCCTGCCTTGGCTTCCCAAAGTGCTCGGATTACAGGCATGAGCTGCTGTGCCTGGCCAACCTTTTTTATTTATAAACTACTGAGCCTCATATGTATGCTTATAACAATGCAAAATAAACTAATATAGCAATCGTATGCCAACACTTACCAGACTGTGAGGAGCAAAATGACAGAAGTACAGAGTGGGACTGAAATGCTCCCAAGGGGCTTCTTGTAGCATCATAGAGAATGGGGTAAGACACCTCGGCTGAGGCTAAAGATGAGCAAAGATGAGAGTCAAAGAGTGATGATGAGGGTAGAGGAGGGTTTCCTGAAGAAGGACACCAGCAAAGTCCCCCAAAGAAACTGAAATGCCATGTGGCTGGAGGGTAGGATATGGGAAGGGTGGTGCAGGATAAAACTGGAAAGGTAAACCGAGGCCAGCTCTTACCAGGCCCTGTGGCCAAATTAGTTTGATTTTATCTTAAAGGCAATGGGCAGTCACCAGCAGGTTTTAATCAAGAACCATTTTGACCCAAATTTGCCTTTTAGAAAAATTCCTCTGGCTTCAGTGAATAGGCTGAAGTCAGCAAGCCTAGAAGTCAGGAAGACAATTGGAGGCCTTCAAAATAAACCAGTACCAAAAAAAACAGGGCCAGGCATGCTGGCTGCTGCCTATAATCTCAAAACTTTAGAAGTCTAAGGTAGGTGGATGTCTTGAGCCCAGGAGTTTAAGATCAGACTGAGCAATGTGGTAAAACCACATCTCTACAAAACACAAAATATTAGTTGGGTGTAGTGGCTCATACCTGTGGTCATACCTCAGCTACCCCAGAGGCTGAGGCAGGAGGATAGCTTAAGCCCGGGAGGTTGAGACTGCAGTGAGCCAAGATCACATCGCTGTGCTCCAGCCTGGGCAACAGAGGGAGACGGTCTCAAAATGAAAAAGAATCCCATTCTTCACCTATTAGTGCCCCTATGTTCTCATGAGAACCTTGGTGATGCAGTGAATTCAACTGTCACTGTAATTCAGCAATTCACACATTTAAGTTTGAGTTTGATTTTCAATAATATCAACCCTGTGGTAACAAGAAATAAGGAATTGTGTTTGGGCTATCACGGAAGCTCTCTGGATCTCAGACCATGACTTATGCTAAGACTTGAGCTTTGTGTTTCTCTCTCTGTGAGTGCTCAAGTGCAGCAGTCCCCAGCTTTTTTGGCACCAGGGACCAATATTATGGAAGACAATTTTTCCACAGGCTGGAGGCAGGGGGCAGTTTTGGAATATTTCAAGCACATCACGTTTATTGTGTACTTTGTAATTATTACATTTTAGTATATAATGATTATATAACTCACCATAATGTACAATCAGTGGGAGTCCTGGGCTTGTTTGTTTTCCTGCAACTAGATGGTCCCATCTGGGGGTGATGAAAGATAGTGACAGATTATCAGGCATCAGATTCTCATAAAGACACAGCAAGGTAGAACCCTTGCATGCACAATTACACAATAGGGTTCCTGCTCCTATGAGAATCTAATGCTGCCACTGACCTGACATGAGGTGGAGATCAGGCGGCAAAGAGGGGAGTGGCCATAGATACAGATGAAGCTTTGCTCACCCACCTGCTGCTCACCTCTTGCTGTGTGGCCAAGTACCGGCCTGTGATTCAGGGATTAGGTGCCCCTGCTCCATTGCATCCAAAAGGACCCTCTCCACACCAGTCTTCATAGTGGTCAAGTACAGAAGCCATTTAGCTCCTAAGGCATGTGTCTCAGCTGGCATTTCATCACAATCAACAGGAAGTGGTAGCTTGAAACATTATGAGGTCACTTCCTAAAAATCACCAGCATCCCATTTCCCATTGACAAGGAGCTCAATGCTACCCCTTGGATAACCAAACCTATGCCCAGATCCCATTTGTGTGGGTCTTTCTCCCAGAACCCTTCCTAGCATCAGTTCTGTATTTGTCAAAGTCCAATCAAAAGACAAAAATCACCCAAAGTTTAAACTGGTAAAATTTAAAGTAAAAAAAATTAATTATATAACAAGGGAACACCATATGAGAGATTGGCTACAAAAGGAAAGAGAACTCTAGAGAACATAGGGCTAGCAGAGGCCAGACATGGTGGCTCATGCTTACAATTCCAGCAATTTGGGAAGCCAAGGCAGGAGGACTGCTTGAGGCCAGCAGTTTGAGACCAGCCTCGGAAACACAGTGAGACCCTGGCTCTACAAAAAAAAAAAAAAAAGCCAGGTGTGGTGGCACAGACTTGTAGTCCTAATCACTTGGGAGGCTGAGGTGAAAAAATTGCTTCAGCCCAGAAGGTTAAGGCTGCGGTGAGCCATGATTTCACCACTGAACTTTAGACTGGGAAAAACAGAGAGACCCTACCTCAAAAAAACAAAGTATAGGACCAGCTGTTACAAGGAGCAGTAACTTCCTACTATCCCTACACTGAGACAGAGTGACCAAGGAAGGGATTCCCCACTAAGGCTGAGATCCAGGCCCCCTTGAAAAGGGCACAGTCATGGGAAATTCAATGGCAGAATTGCTGCATTACCACATGGTGGAACATGCTAGCAATATGCCCTCTGGAGTTTGCTGAAAATCCACCATCTAGGGTGATAGCTTCACCTATTAGTAAACAGTTGTCTCACTAGAAAACCACCCAGGCAAATGCAGAGAAACTGCTGGTCACTGCGTGCTGCTAAGCACCATGCAGGGCAAGGCCTGGTGCTGGAAAAGCTCAGTGCCTGTGAAGATTTGCACACAACTAGAAAGAAACGCCTCTTAGAATGCCCCTGTAGCACCATGTACTGACACTAATAATACCAGTTCACAGAGGAAGCATTTAAGGAACCACCCGTGTTTTGCAGAGCAGGCTGTTTTGGAGGAGCTCTGAAATCTGAATTTCATCCTTGTTCCCATCTTCCTTTCCTACTATAGACTTATCCTCACAGAAGGAAAAAAGGAGAAAAAATCTCTGAAAAACAGCATTCGTTCCTTACACAGTCATGAGTTCAAAACACAAGTTTTTCAATCCAGGTTATTCCCTTTTAGTTCTTACACCCCTCAACCACCTGCGTGAATAGAGCACATTGTCTCCACTAAAAATAAAAAAAATTCAAGAATATGTCTGGCATGTGTCAAGTGGTTCCTCCGACTCTGATGGCTCCGGTTCACCCTCACCTTCTCACTCCCAAGTCGGTGGGGATTTAAGTACGCACTACATGCACTCGTGACTTGTAGTTTCCAATATGTGACCCAACATCAGCTGTTGGCCACTTCTGATCTTCCTCTCAGCCTCCCAAAAGCCCCTGCTCTGCATTTGACTCCTAATTTCGCACTAAGCTAACTAACACTTTGCCACAAATAACCGCTGAAGTGAAATGTCGCACTAGACAAGTCAAACACTGACACACAACACAACCAGACACAACTACATGGCTGGATGGAAGCCAAGAATGGAAGTCAGCATCCTCAGAGTACATTTCAGAGGCAAACCAGAATATGTCAGTGTAAACTACAAAGTCCAGAGCCTTTGTTTGAGTAAAACTAGGTGCAGCAAAACCAGGGCTCCATGCACGACTGGTATTGAAAAGAGGCCACAGGGAGTAGAATTAAATATGACACCATCGGCCGGGGCGCAGTGGCTCACACCTGTGATCCCAACACTTTGTGAGGGCCGAGGTGGGCAGATCGTTTGAGGTCAGAAGTTTAAGAGCAGCCTGGCCAATATAGTAAAACCTCGTCCTCTACTAAAAATATAAAAATTAGCCAGGCATGGTGGCAGGTGCCTGTGATCCCAGCTACTTGGAAGGCTGAGGCAAGAGAATCACTTGAATCAAGGAGGCAAAGGTTGCAGTGAGCTGAGATCACACCACTACACTCCAGCCTGGGCAACAGAAAATTCCATCTGCAAAGTTTCTTCTAAACTCAATTTAAGGCATCATGTACCACAAACCAGATAGCAAGAAATTAAATAAATTTTAGCCTTTTTCATGCCATCCAATTACATCTTGGTCAGTTCATAAACATGTTTCGGCAAATGCTGGAGGAGTTTTTCTCTTTAGGAGTCCTCTCACTTTACCCTGCTTAAAAACAGATTCCACACAAAAAGAGAATGGAGACAGCCCCACTTCAGAACATGCTACACGAAGAGAACTGACTGTCCCCAAAAAAGAGGGCTCCACACCCCTCTGACAACTCCACAATAGACCAACTACACACAAATGCCTGAAGTAAGGAAGTCCATTAAGAAAATGAACAGTTGGTGAGATCAAGACTTCTGAACCAAAGGGCCTGCAGCTGGTCTGATGATTCATCAAAAAGTCTGAATTTAAATGGAGACATATGGGACTGTGACATGTAATAAAAGAACTGAAGCAGCAAAGTGTCTTGACTTGTTTTTCCTTTCCACTGTATACAGCTCCAATGAATAGAGAAGTGAGCATGCCTCTGGTATTCCTGACACATCTGGGATAGTTCCCATCCACAGTGGTCAACCTTTGGGATTATCCACACATTGCAGGGTCATTGTCCATCTATGCTAACCTAGAATGTCTGGATAAAAGCTTTTGTTTGGAGACTGGAGAGAAAAATGTCAAACGTGAAAGCCCATGAGCTGTCTCAGCCAGGGGGAACACATGAAGGAAACACTACAGAATCTGACATCAGAAGCCTAATTTCAGGTTGACCTCTGAAGCTTTACGATTGTGAGTAATCAGCTTACTTTCTCTAGGCTCTGTTATTCTCACATCAATAAACAGACAAGCAGACTGAATAGTCTCCCAGATCAATTCCAATCTTATCCTCTGGCTTAATGATTAAAGAATGATACTAAGTAATCAGGTTGAAACTGTGGCTTAACCCCAACAGAAGCCCGCTGGGATTATGCTAAGCAAAACTAGTCCACATAGACAGAGCCATTCTGACCACATCCCTCCCTGTGCCAGCTATCATACAGATATGCACCACTGGTATGAGAAATCCCTTCCACAGGAGAATGACTGATTCAATAATAGGCTGATTTATTCATTCAAACAACAAATATTTACTGACCACCTTCTAGGGATTTAGGGTTACAACAGAACAGAACAGACAGAATCCCTTCCCTTACTTACCTTTTAGTGAAGGAGGAGGGGGAGTCAGACATCGAATAGGAAATACCATTAAGGATATATTTTATGTAGGGCAGTGCTGGGATTCACTCAGGGTGGCTGGAAAAATATTAAAAGAAATATGAGGGAAGTATAGAATATAGTCTCAAACCTTTGAAAAGCCGAAAAGTTTTAATGAGCCAGGCTGAAGACAGCCAGTTCTTACATTGGAGCTTTAAGTCATAAGGTGAAGATTAAGATGAGAAAAGCTTCCCTGGTTGAGTCTGTTTATCCCACATTCCTTTTTCTCTACTGCGTTTACTCATGTAAACTTCATGCTAGCTGCTCCTCTTAGGGGGAGGTTGAAAAAGAATTACTTCTTAATGGTGTTTATTCTGGACCTCAGAACCACAAGTTTTCATCATTCTTAAAACCACTCTTTCAACCATGTCAATTATCCACAAGCAGGTTAACTTAAAACCTCTGTTACTACTTCTATACTGAATAAATGCAATAAACAAGGAGTCAAGTAGCTGCAATCACTCTCTAAAAGTTGATAACACCCTAGCCCAACTCTTCCACTGTATTCTGTATGTAAGGGCATATTTTATTCATCTGATACTTATACTAAATAAATGTTTGTTTAGTAAGAGAAACTAAATGTGAATTGTAAGTATAAAGAAGTCATGATGAGAGGGAAACAAAAGGCCCAAATTAATCAAATTCATCTCTTCTTAGGGAAGACACTGAATTTGTGTCTGCAGATTATCATCTTACCTTTTAATAACAAATGTAATTTGATTGCCCACTTGAATGATGTTTTCCAGCCTTGGGATTCCCTATCATGAGGGACTTCTGAAAGGAATGTCTTCCAGTAGTTCTTCCACACACACATCATTCGCATGTCCTTCAAATTTTTGGTCTTAAAAACCATCCTCAAAGATCTTCAAAGATTAAACTTTGTTTTTCAATATCCTTAAACAGAGGAGAAATAAAGAAAATCATTATAGACAATAAAGAACATAACCTAAGCTGGTGTGCAGTGGCATGATCTCGATTCCTTGCAATCTCTGACTCTCGGGTTCAAGCAATTCTCCTGCCTCAGTCTCACAAGTAGCTGAGATTACAGGTGCCGGCCAGCATGCCTGTCTAATTTTTGTATATTTTTAGTAGAGACAGGGCTTAACTATGTTGGCCAGGCTGGTCTCCAACTTCTGACCTCAGCTGATCCATCCACCTTGGCCTCCGAAAGTGCTAAGATTACAGGCAGGAGCCAATGTGCCCAGTCATAAACACTATTTGGAAGCAGCTTTATGCTACTATCTGCCCGTGACTGTAATAACCATCCTCCATTGGCTGCCTTACAGTAGTGCATTTCAGGCTACGCTTTCATCTGCACTGCAGCCATGAGATCAGTGTTCTTTACCCCTTCAACATCGTGAGCATGCTATTTAATGAGAATTAACTTTCCACAAAGAATTCATGAAATGGGAATTAAAAATAGTAAGCAGAGGCTGATTTAGATTAAAAGAGGCATAACAACCAAAGTTAACCATAAAGACTGTTTAAAGCCAGATTTAAAACAATTTTTTTTCAGATAATGAGGAAATGTGATACTATTCAGATAAGAGTAAGGAAACTCAACTAAGGGCTACATATGAGCTGACACCAAAAAATCACCGCTAAATTTGTCAGATATGATGAGAGTGGCTGTTCAGGAATGTACACCTCTCTCATCTCTACAAAACTTAAGCCAGGTGTGCACCACACCTAGCTAATTTTTACATCTTTTGTAGAGACAGGGTTTCATCATGTTGCCCAGGCTGGTCTCAAACTCCTAAGCCCAAGCCATCCTCCCGCCTCGGCCCTCAAAGTGCTGGGATTACAGGGCCCAGGGAGTCTCATTTTCTTTAAGCAGTCTCCTACTCTTGCACACTTGGAGAGTTTTCTTTTTGTTCTTTTAGGCAGGGTTTACCTCAGTCTCACAGGGTGGAGTTCTGTGGTGGGATCATAGCTCATTGCAGCCTTGAACCCTGGGGTTCAAGTAGCTGGGAGGCTGAGGTGGGACTACAGATACAGGGTCACACCATGTGGCCCAGGCTGCTCTTGGACTCCTGGACTGTAGGGATTCCCCCTACCTCAGCCACACCTGGACACAGTTTTCTATTTTTGACCTAAATAAACAGTGTACTGGGTCAGAGTTTGTCAACTGCCCTTTTCCAGCCAGCAACACACAGGACCTAGCTGAGACATTGCAGTTACCAGGCTTCACTCTGAGAAGAAGATGACACATCTCCAGGCCCTGTACTGTCCTTGTGACTTCCCTGAAAACCCACCCTTGTGACATCACAGACCCCCCTCAGATGGAGCCAATCAGAACTCTAAAAGAAAATGTCAGTTGCATACCAGTCAGATGTGGGCAGTGTTCATGTTTCAAAAGCTAACACTGGCATGACTGACTTAGTGTTGGAACCAGAAAAATTTAAAAGTGAAAGATAAAAATATGTAAAGTAGGCTGAGTACAATGGCTCACGCCTGTAATCCCAACGCTTTCACAGACCGAGGCAGGTAAATCACAAACTCAGGATTTTGAGACCAGCATGGCCAATAAGGAGGCCGAGGAAGGAGAATTGCTTGAACCCAGGAGGCAGAGACTGCAGTCAGTCGAGATCATGCCACTGCACTTCAGGCTGGGTGACAAGAGTGAAAAGTTTGTCTCAGAAAAAAAAAAAAAAATCCTTTGGGAAGTCCTTCTACATTAAGATCTTCCACATGAGACTGGAATAAAAGTACAAGATCATCCTGGACCTTTGGCTTTTACAGCTTGAGCTGTAACTGAAAAAAAAACAAAAAAAAGAGATATAATTTAAATACCATTTGTAGAAAAGAATAATTATTCAATCTGTATTGCTCTTTAATTTTTTTTTTTAACGAAGTCTCTGCTGCCAGGTGGGAGTGCAATGGCACAATCTCAGCTCACTGCAACCTCCATCTCCCGTGTTCAAACAATTCTCCTGCCTCAGCCTCCTGAGTATTTGGGACTACAGGTGCCTGCCACCATGCCCAGCTAATTTTTGTACAGACAATGGAGACGGTGTTTCACCGTATTGGCTAAAATGATCTTGATCTCCTGTCCTCATGATCCACCCACCTTGGCCTCCCAAAGTGCTAGAATTACAGGCATGAGCCAGCATGCCCTGCATTGCTCTTTAACTTTTATAATTTGTTCTTTACTTCTATTATTGTATTTGAGTCCAAAAAATAGTATGAAAAAAATAAAAAGAACCTCCAAAATGCTAATATTCTGATTATCAAAGTCTACAGTAAAATATGCCATTACAGCTGAATGCGGTGACTCACACCTGTAATCCAGCACTTTGGGAGGCTGAGGTCAGTGAATCACATGAGATCAGTAGTTCAAGACCATCCTTGCCAACATGGGAAAACCCATCTCTACTAAAAAGACAAAAACTACCTATGTGTGGAGCCAGGTGCCTGCAATCCCAGCTACTCGGGAAGCTGGGGCAGGAGAATCACTTGAACCCAGGAGGTAGACGTTACAGTGAGCCAAGATCATGCCATTGCACTCCAGCATGGGGACAACAGGGAAATTCCAGCTCAAAAAAAATTAAATAAAATAGAGAAAGAAAAAGAAAGAAATAATCCCATTATTAAAGCCAATGTAGATACACCCAGACTTTCTACAACAGTCTGAACCAAATTATAAGGCCAGAGGAACATACTGGCTAATGTTATTTAATATATACAGTACTAAATGAAAAATGTAATATTTTCAAAACATAAACATTAGTGTAACCTTATTGGACTTATAAAGATAATTTTTTAACTAATAGAAACAGAAGATTCTCCTGAACTGCAACATTTCAGCTAGCATTTATTTACTCAAGATTGAAATAATACAACATCTATAAAACGTCAAGAGCTGGGATGGGCACTGTGGCTGATACTTGTAATCCCAGCACTTTGGGAGGCCAAGGTGGTCAGATCACCTGAGGTCTGGAGTTCGAGACCAGCCTAACCAACATGGAAAAATCCCATCTTTACTTAAAAGAAAAAAAAAATTAGCTAGACATGGTGGTGTACACCAGTAATCCCAGCTACATGAGAGACTGAGGCAGGAGAATCGCTTGAACCCAAAAGGAGGAGGTTGTGGTGAGCTGAGATCAAGCCATTGCACACCAGCCTGGGCAACAAAAGTGAAATTACGTCTCAAAAAAAAAAACCATAAAATTCAAGAGCTAGTCATTGAACAGGCTCAAACCTATAACCCCAGCACTTTGCAAGGCCTAGGTGGGTGGATCACCTGAGGTCAGGAGTTCGAGACCAGCCTGGCCAACATGGTGAAATCCCATCTCTACTAAAAATACAAAAATTAGCCCAGCATGGTGGCACTTACCTGTGGTCCCAACTACTACGGACACTGAGGCAGGAGGATCGCTTGAACCTGAGAGGTGGACATTGCAGTGAGCTGAGATCATGCCACTGCCCTCCACCCTGGGTGACAGAGCAAGACTCTCTCAAAGAAACAAAAAATGTCAAGAGCATGGGAAGTAGTAAAATTAAACATAACCAACAATCTCCCATCAGAATAGCTCCATTTTTTGCTATCATTATGTGTTAAAGTCTATTTCCTAAACATTGACATTTGTACTAAAGTTTCAAGTGCACCATATAACACATTAGTGCTGAGTGAAGTTTAATACCCTTTGCTGTACACTAAACTTGAATATCATACTTACAGAGCAAAACAAAAGTATCTTTCCCTAAGGTAATTACCACTAATGCTGCTTTAAAATTATAAAATGTGAAGATTTTTTATAATGTCACAACAGCTGCAAATTATTGTCTTTAAATAATCTAATAAATCACCATCACAAAAAAGCCCCAAAACATAATCTATTTCATCTTATAAAAAGCACTTACATTTATAAACTGTTAGAGTCAATTTATAAAACTTTAATAGCAAATTATTTTTACTTAGAATAGTACTAAATTAACCACACAATAAAAACATAGGCCAGGTGTGGTGGCTCACACCTGTATCCCAGCACTTTGGGAGGCCCAAGGAAAATGGATCACTTGAGGTCACAAGTTCCAGATCAGCCTTGCGGACATGGGGAAACGCCACATCTACTGAAAATCAGGCAGGCATGGTGGTGGACACCTGTAGTCCCATCTATTCGAGAAGCTGAGGTTCACTTGAACCTGGGAGGTGAAGGTTGCAGTGAGCCAAGATCGTGTCGTTGCATTCCAGAATGGGTGACAAGAGCAAAACTCCAGCTCAAAAAACAAAATCCCATTACTTTAAGCCAATGTAGATACAGCCAGACTTTCTACAACAATATGAACCACATCAAAAAGCCAGAAAAACACACCAGCTCATATTATGTAATACATATAGTACTAGATGGAAAAGGTAATATTTCCAAAACATACACATCAGTGTAACCTTACTGGACTCAGAAAAACACTTACTGGAGTTATAAACATAATTTTCAAAAGTACCAGAAACAGAAGATTCTCCTGAACTACAACATTTGAGCTAGCATTTATTTACTCAACATTAAAATAATACAACAGGTATAACAAGTCAAGAGCTGGGCCGGGTGTGGTGGCTCACAACTGTCGTCTCAGCACTTTGGGAGGTCGAGGCAGGCAGATCACCTGAGGTCAGGAGTTCAACACCAGCCTGACCAACATTAAATACCCTTGTCTCTACTAAAAATGCAAACTTAGCTGGGCATGATGGCACATACGTGTTATCCCAGCTACTCGGGAGGCTGAGGCAGGAGAATTGTTGGAACCCAGGAGGCAGAGGTTGTCATGAGCCAAGATCGCACCATTGCACTCCAGCCTGGGCAACAAGAGTGAAACTTCATCTCAAAAAGTATATAAATAAAATGAAAGTCAATCACTGGCTAAATGTGGGTGGCTCATACTTGCAAGCCAGGGCAAGTGGATCATTCAAGGACAGGAGTCTGAGAGCAGCCTGGCCAACGTGGTGAAACCTCATCTCTACTACCTACACAGAATTTAACTGGGCATGGTGGCAGGTGTCTGTAATCCCAGATTCTTGGGAGGCTGAGTCAGCCAGATCACCTAAGGTTAAGAGCTCAACACCAGCCTGACCAACAGGGTGAAACCCCACCTCTACTATACAAAAATTAGATGGGCATGGTTGTTTGTCCTGTAATCGCAGCTACATGGGAGGCTGAGGCAGGAGAACTGCTTGAACCCAGGAGGTGGAGGCTGCAGTGAGCTGAGATCACACCACTGCACTCCAGGATGAGTAACAGAGCAAAACTCCACCTCAAAAAAAAAAAAAAAAAAGAATAAGAAAGAAAACATTTGCTATGGGGAGACCAGAAATATGATCTGCTGGCAATCCTTCCATTTTAGGAAATCTCAACAGTGGGAGTCCATTCTGTTTTGTCCCTCTACACTCCAGAAACAAAACCAGTAATCAAATCCATTCTATTTCTTTCAAAACACATCTAACAATTAAGAGATGTTATGCATGGCTCCATACTCTAAGAGGAAACCTTATGTCCTGGATATCACAGACAGTTGATGAATGCTCGTTCATTTGACTGGTATAGACTTCAATAATAAATTGTTCAATGCACTATGCCAGATAAATACTGCATCTCAGAAGTAGAACAAATACTGCTATTTTAGTTCTGTCTACACATAAATGCAGTATTTGTACATATTTATAATGGGTTAATACAAACAAACTGAGTTAATTGTTCTAGAGAGTAATAGAATTTGGACAACATGAATTCTCCTGTCCTGGCACATAATTAGTAGCTAGAGGCATTTTATTTCACGTGAAAGGTACCATTAAAAAATCAATGGTAAGCATTAAATAATTATTGCACACAATCTTCTCATCTGAGTTAATACTGAAGACCTACCTCCTGAAGCTGGTTTATCAAGTTGTAAATCTTCACGTGTAGAATTAATAGGTTCATTTCTGAAAGGTGAGAATAAAGATTTAATATTCACTATGCAATATTCAGCAAAGTAATATCCACTAGTACATATTTAACATTTAATCATCAAGGGTGGTTTTGAAAAGAAAAAACAGGCTGGGGGCGGTGGCTCAGACGTGTAATCCCAACACTTTGAAAGACCGAGGCAGGCAGATCACAGCTTGAATGTTTGAGACCAGCCTGGCCAACATGGTGAACACCCAACTCTATTAAAAACACAAAATTTAGCCTGGAGTGGTGGCAGGTGCCTGTAATCACAGCTATTCAGGAGGCTGAGCCAGGAGAATTATGTGAACCCAGGAAGCAGAGGTTGCAGTGAGCCAAGATCATACCACTGCACTCCAGCCGGGGTGACAGAGCAAGACTCTGTCTCAGGAAAAAAAAATTAAGAAAACTTCATCTGAATGCTTGAGCACAACTAAATCTACAGAGTAACAAAAAATAACAATTGCAAATCGTCTCATCAGGTGCTTCATGGAGCATGTGTCCTCACAAGTACAGTGGTAACTTGGTAACATACAGCTCTTTTGAAGCATACTACAAATATCTTTTATGGGATCCTTTAATATCACATTGTGTTGAAGGCTATCTCCTGCTAAACATCTATAAATACAATCATATATTCCCTCATATGCCTTCAAAGTCTCAGGCCTAAAAATAAGACATGGATACTATTTTCTTCCATCTATCAAAAGAAGGAAGGAAAGAGACAAAAGAGAGAGATAACCAGGTATGGTGGTTCACACCTGTAATCCCAGCAGTATGGGAGGCCAAGGCAGGTGGATCACTTGGGTCCAGCAGTTTGATACCAGACTGGGCAACATAGTGCAACAGTCTCTACTAAAAATACAAAAATTAGCTGAGTGTGGTGGCATCTGAAGGTAGTCCCAACTTCACAAGAGGCTGACAAAAGGATCACGAGGGTCTGGGAGTTCGAGGCTGCAGTGAGCCATGATCACACCACTGCATTCCTGCCAGGGTGACACAGTGAGATCTTGCCTCTAAAGAAGAAATGTTGGTGAAAATGTAGAAACTGGAACCCACATACATTACTGGTGGGAACATAAAATGGTTTAACCACTTTCTTTGGGTGTTTCTTTTCTTGTCATTTCATTTTATTTTTTTAAATAAAGACAGGGTCTTGCCATCTTACCCAGACTGGTCTTTTTTAACTCATAGGCTCATGTGATCCTCACACCTCAGCCTCTCATGTAGCTGGGATTACAGATGTGAGTCACCACACCTGACTGGTATAACTGTTTTGGAAAACAGTTTCTCAAAAGCCTAAATGTACAGTATCATAGAATGCACTAATTTCTCTCCTAGGCATATATCCCAGAGAAATAAAAATATATGTCCACACAAAAACTTGTACATGAATCTTCAGAGCGGTATTATTCATAATGGCCAATGCATGAAAACAACCCAAATGTTCATCAACTGATGAACAGATAAATACAATGTAGTGTGACTCTACCTTGGAGTATACTGTTCAGCCATAGAAGGAGAGAAATACTGACACATGCCATGACATGAAGAAACTCTGTAAACATTGCGCTAGGAGTGAAAAAAAAGCCAGCCACCGAAGATCCCCACATATTGCACAATCCTATTTATGTAAAAGGTCCAGATTATGCAACTCTATAGTGACAGAAAATACATCACCGGTTGCCTATGGGAGCACAGGGGTATAGGGGGAGTACAAACTAATGGCAAAGAAATGTATATTTCTCTATAGGGCAATGAAAGCTTCTAAAACTGATTGTGGTGACAGATGAACAGCTCCATGACTACTCTAAAGACCAATGAATTGCATACTTTGATGAATGAAGTGTAAGGTATGTTAACTATATTTCAATAAAGCTGTTATTTAAAATAAATAGGGGGCTTGTCACAGCTGGCTTGTATCTGCATATAATCCCAGAATTTTGGGAGGCTGAGGCAGGAGGACCACTTAAGGCCAGGAGTTAAAGATCATCCTGGGCGACACAGCATGATCCCATCTCTACAATAAATAATAATAAAAAAATTAGCTTTGCGTGGTGGTGTACATCTGTAGTCCCAGCTACTTGGGAGGCTGAGGTGGGAGTATTACTTGAGTTTGAAACTAAAGCAAGCCATGATTACACCTCTGCACTGCAGCCTGAGTGACGGAGCAAGAAAAAAGGAAAGAAAAGAAATGCAAGGACTTTGTGAGAGTAACCAAGTTTGAGGAGAAACAGAAGAACAAAAGAGCACTGGATGTTGAGGGTCGCTGGCTGGCGAGGTGCAGCTGCTAACTGGCTTCTAAAAAAATTTGTTAGTAAAATTACAGCTCTGGGGATGAGTCATGCAGTCAAATGATGAACGTTAAATCCCTTACAAATGCTCATCTTTCTTTACATGCCTTCTAGTGAAAAATTCCTAAGGGCCTACATAGCAAGTGGTCTGAAATGATAGCAGCTGTTTATTAAAGAAATAACATCAAAAACAAAAACTTAAACGGTTTTCTTTGATGGAACTCATAACACTTTGCTTTTACTTTCTCATTGATCTTCAATGAGACAGTAACTGGATATGCCATCCTTGCTTTATTCCCCCAAAATGCTCAATAACTTTTCATTGTATTTTTCTTAGTATTAAGCCCCCAAGGACAGGGTTCTTGTCAGACCCAATTTTGCACATCTAATGCTTATACTAAATAAATTCTTGTTCAATCTAAATAGTAATCTACATATTAATTGTAAATATAAAGAAGTTATGATGAGATGGGAACAAAAGGCCCATCTTTATCAAATTAATCTCTTCTTAATTTGTTTCCGCAGATTATTTTACCTTTTAATAAAAATTTAATTCAGTCACCCACTTACCTGATGTTTTCCAGCCTCGGAATTCCATATCACAAGGGACTTCTGAAAGAAATGTTTTCCGGTAGTCCTTCTAAATACAAATCATTTGAACGTGCTTCAGAGTTTTGGTCTTAAAAAAGATCTTCAAAGATCCTAAAAGATAAAACTTCTTTTTAATACCCTTAGGAAGACAGAGAAAGAAAATTATTATAGAAGATAAAGAATACAACCTAAGTAGCATTTTTTTTTGAGATGGAGTCTTGCTCTGTCACCCAGGCTGGAGTACAGTGGCATGATCTCAGCTCACTGCAACCTCCACCTCCCAGGTTCTAGCAATTCTCCTGCCTCAGCCTCCCAAATAGCTAAGATTATTGACACCTGCCATCATGCCTGGTTAATTTTTGCATTTTTTAGTAGAGACCGGGTTTCACCATTTTTGGCAGGATGGTCTCAAACTCCCGATCTCAGGTGGTTCGCCCATCTCGGCCTCCCAAAGTGCTGAGATTACAAGCATGAGCCATTGGACCCAGGCTGTAAGTACTATCTGGAAGCAGCCTTTTGCTACTCTCTGCTGGTGACCTGTAATAACCCTCCTCCATTGCTGCTGCACACGGGCACATTTCAGGCTACACTTTCATCTGCACTGCAACCACAAGATCAATATTCTTTACCCCTTCAATCTTGTAACCATGCTGTTTTAAAAGAAATAACTTTCCACTGAGAATTCATGGAATATGAAATAACAATAGTAAGCAGAGGCTGGTTTAGATTAAAAGAGGCATAATAACCAAAGTTAGCACAGGAAGATTGTTTGGATCCAGATATACAGCAAACAATGAGCTGACACCAAAAAATCATTGTTAATTTTGTCAGATGTGAGGAGATAGTGGCTGTTTTGGGACGTGCACTGAACAGGTAAAATGACGTGAAGACTCTGATTTGCTTTACAGTATTCCTGAAAAGGGAGGAAAAGAAATAGAACAAAATGTAGGACAATCTTAATGATCACAGAAATTGAGGAATAAGTATTTTAGTGTTCATAGTACTTTTTTCTCTACTTCTGAATAGGTATAGAAACTGTAATTTTAAAATGTATAAAATAAAATAAAATAAAATGGCCAGGCACCATGGCTCATGCCTGTAATCCCAACTTTTTGAAAATCCAAGGCAGGGGGATCACTTGAATCAGGAGATCAAGACCAGCCTGGCCAACATCGTGAAATCCTGTCTCTACCAAAAAAAAAAAAAAAAAGCTGGGTGTGGTGGCAGGCACCTGTTGTCCCAGCTACTCAGGAGGCTGAGGCAAGAGAATCAGTTGAACCTGGGAGGCAGAGGCTGCAGTGAGCTACTGCACTCCAGCCTGAACAACAGTGAGAATCTGCCTCAAGAAAAAAACAGTAAAAATGAATTTACTAATCCCTGCTCTGAAACCACATCCAAACAGAACTCTAAACAAAAACATTCAAGCAATTTACATGGTGCTATTTATATACAGATCTCCCATGCACCTCTGAATGTAATATTTAAATATTTTGCAACATGATGGCTGGAAATGGCTCAAACCTGGGCATGGTGGCACACAGCTGTAGCCCTAGATACTACTTAGGAGACTGAGGAGGATAACTTGAGCCCAGGAGTTCTAGCCCAGCCCAGAAAACATAACACGACTCCATTTCTTTGAAAAGAAAAGTCAGGGAGCTTTCAGGGAGCTCACTGATACATTATTTTGGTGTTATCAACGACTGCTATCAAAACACTACTACAAAATCCAAAATGATATCTCCTGCCAGACCTTTCTCCTTACTTCTGAACTCATTTACCAAAATGCCTCCCCCACCTCCACAACTCAACTGGAATGTCAACTTGAAATTAATTAATTAATTTCTTTGTTATTAGACTGGCTTTCCTGTAACATCGAAAGACTTGTCTTAAATTCTTACTTCATGTTATTAGCATCAAATTTGAAGGCCCATAAATAAATAACAGTAAAAGATGAGAAGCTTTCAGTCATACTAGACAGTGATGTTAAATCAAACTATTCTGTTAATTCAACAAGAAAATATATAAACCTAGTTCTGACAAACTTTCTATAAAATAAAAAAGAACCATTTGTTGGGGTTGAGAGTGAAACTGGAAGTTTTACAAAGAGGTGAGACCAACTGCAGAATGTGCTCATCACGCATCACTGAGGCTGTCCCAATCACACCCTCTGCCTCATTATCCCCCTTATTCCACTTAATTCTGTCCCAGACCATAACCCCTTCTTCCATAGTAAATATCTCCTACCTACTACACATTTCCCCACCAGATTAAATGCTCCAGAATGCATGGGGCAGGGCACTGTCTTCCACACTGCCCAGTTCCCAACACCTGACTCACAGGTACCAAATGACTTCAGGATTATGAGGTTGGAAGTAGTGATTATTTCCTCAATACTTGCAGTGGTTCACGGCAATGAAAATCCCAGGATTTCCTTTCCCCTTTCAGAGGCATTTGAACCAGAGCAACTCCATCTAAAATAGGAGCTGGGTAAAATGAGGCTGAGACCTACTGAGTTGCATTCTCAGATAGTTAAGGCATTCGAAGTCACAGGCTGAGGAAGGAAGTCAGCACAAGATACAATTCATAAAGACCTTGCTGATAAAATGGGTTGCAGTAAAGCGGCAAGCCAAAACCAAGATGGTGACAAGAGTGGCCTCTGGTCGTCCTCACTGCTACTACATTCCCACCAACACCGTGACAGTTTACAAATGCCATGGCAATGTCTCAAAAGCGGAAGCATAAAAATAATCCATTCCTGGCCAGGCTCAGTGGCTCACACCTGTAATCCCAGCACTCTGGGAGGACAAGGTGAATGGATCATCTTAGGTCAGGAGTTTCAGAGCAGCCAGACCAACACGGTGGAACCCCCATCTCTACTACAAATTAAAAATAAAATTAGCTGGGTGTGATGGTGCACACCTGTGATCCCAGCTACTTGGGAGGCTGAGGCAGGAGAATCACTTGAGAACCTGCTTGAGAAGTAAACAAGACAGGCACGATCTGGGATGTTAAAGCCACTGTGCCGAAGCAGGAGTAAAAAGCCAGCAGCGCTCTGTGAAAAATGAAAGGAGGATGAGTCAGTGAGCCTCGAGGCTGAGATGAGACAGTGCTCAGTGAAGACCTCTCCAACATGATGACGTTTCAACTGTGATGCTAATAGAAAGGAGAAGCACAGAAAGCCCTCAACTAACAGCAGTCCACAAACACCAGCCCTCAGCACAACGGTGCCAGGAGGCTGTGACCTGAGAAGAAGAAAGGCACACAAATGACCAGAGTGGCTGGCACAGAGCAAGCACTCCACAGACAGCATGTGGGAAAAGCAGAGGAATGAGAGAGGGCAGCTCACCGATGCCCCTGCAGACCCAATCAGGGGCTGTGAGGTTTACTCCAAAAACAGTGGAAGGCACTACCTATGACAGTGCAGAGAATGACAGGCTCCACCTCCTACTCACAATGAGCCTGACCTGGCTGCTCTGTGGCACGGCTCTAACTGAGCACTGGAGGGCAGTGAAGGAGGATGGGGTAGAACCTGGGCTTTGTGTTTGGGCAGAGTCAGCAGGCCTTGCAAGGCTGGATACGGGAAGGGAGACAATCATACCTCAGAGTAACTCCTGGGCGTCTGGCTTGGGTAGCTGGTAGACCTAGAGAGGAGTTCATGGAGAGGGAAATGGGGACTTTGCCTGGGACACATGAAGCCTGAGGAGGGGTCAAGCAGATAGGTAAACACAGAGGTCTGGTATGAGGAGCACCTTCAGGGCCAGAAATGAGGGTCTCAAGGACACAGACAATATAGTATTTTTAAGAGGTGGGCAGGGTGGGATTATCTGTAAGGAAGACACACTAAGAAGAGAGAAAGAGGCTGGGCAAAGTGGCTCATACCTGTAATCTGAGCACCTTGGGAGGCCAAGAAAGGCAGATCACAAGGTCGGAAGTTTGAGACCAGCCTGGCCAACATGGTGAAACCCCATCTCTACTAAAAAAAAAATAGAAAAATCAACCAGGCATAGTGGCAAACATCTGTAATCCCAGCTACTCAGGAGGCTGAGGCAGGAGAATCATGGAAACTGGGAGGCAGAGGTTGCAGTGAACTGAGATCCCCCCATTGCACTCCAGTCTGGGTGACAGAATGAGACTCCATCAAAATTAGAAAAAAAAAAAAAAAAAAAGGCCAGGCGCAGTAGCTCACGAAGCGGGTGGATCACGAAGTCAAGAGATCGAGACCATCCTGGTCAACATGGTGAAACCCCGTCTCTACTAAAAATACAAAAAATTAGCTGAGCACGGTGGCACGTGCCTGTAATCCCAGCTACTCATGAGGCTGAGGCAGGAGAATTGCCTGAACCCAGGAGGCGGAGGTTGCAGTGAGCCGAGATCGTGCCATTGACCTCCAGCCTGGGTAACAAGAGCAAAACTCCGCCTAAAAAAAAAATAAAAAATAAAAAATGAAAAAAAGTAAAGAGAGTCCAGGTGTAGTGGCTCATGCCTGTAATCCCAATATGTTGGGAGGAGGAGGAATCTACTCAGGTCTGGAGTTTTAGGCTAGTCTGGCCAAAATGATGAAACCCCATCTCTACTAAAAATACAAATATTAGCCAGGCATGGTGGCAGGTGCCTACAATCCCAGCTATTTGAAAAGCTGAGGCAAGAGAAACGCTAGAACCTGGGAGGTGAAGGTTGCAGTGAGCCAAGAGAGTGCCACTCTGTACTCCAGCCTGAGCAACAACACTGAAACTCCATCACCAAAAAAAAAAAAAAAAACAGTAAGAGAAAGCTTGAGCTGAGTCCTACTCATTGTATTTACTTTCCTAAGATAAAACATCATGAAAAACATTACCACCAGGTGTGGTGGCTCACATCTGTAATGCCAGCACTTTGGGAGGCCAAAACATGGGAATCACAGAATGAGGAGTTCAAGACAAGCCTGGCCAACATGATGAAACCCATCTCTACTAAAAAAATACAAAAATTAGCCATACATGGTGGTGTGTGCCTGTAATCTCAGCTATTTGGGAGAGTGAGGCAAGAAAATTACTTGAATCTGGGAGGCGGAGGTTGCAGAGAGCCACTGTACTCCAGCCTGGGTGACAGAGCAAGACTCCATATAAAGAAAATGAAACAAAACAAAAGACATTACTCAGTAATATACTTTAAAGGAGGAAAAAAGGCTTACCAATTTTTTTTGCGGAAAAGCTCATCTACTGTCTTTCTTAATTTGATGATTCTGGTACACCATTCTTCCTTTGCTGTCAAAAATCACAAAAATACAAGTTTTCTCAATGTAATGGGTTTACTAACTTGGGTTGTTAAATATTGTTATTATTATTATTATTTTTTAAGACGGGATTTCACCATGTTGGTCAGGCTGGTCTTGAACTCCCGACCTCAGGTCATCCGCCCAGCTTGGCCTTCAAAGTGCTTGATTACAGGTGTGAGCCACCATGCCCAGTCTAAATATTATTATTATAAAACAGGTAGCATTTTTTCGTTCCTGTGACTAAAATTATTTCTAAGATTCCAGAATGTACTTATCACTGAAACAATGCTAACACTGAACAAAAAAAGGAAGAACGGGACATTCATTAACGCTGGAAAAAAGCACAACTCGGTGTGCTCAAGAACAGCTACCAGGCCAGGCACAGTGGCTCACGCCTATAATCCCGGCACTTTGGGAGGCCAAAGCGGGCAGATCACCTGAGGTCAGGAGTTCAAGACCAGCCTGGCCAACATGGTGAAACCCCATCTCTACTACAAATACAAAAATTAGGCAGCCATGGTGGCAGGTGCCTGTAATCCCAGCTACTTGAAACATGAAGTAGGAGATTTGCTTGAACCCAGAAGGTGGGAGGATACAGCAAGCTGAGATCATGCACTGCAGTCCAGCATGGGCAACCCAGCAAAACTCCATCTCAATAAACAAACAAACAAACAAACAAAGAGCTAGCAGGCAACATTTGCTATGGGAAGACTAGGAACATAAACTTGCTGGCAATCTAAAATTTAGATTTCAGTAAATCTAAACATTTTAATTTCATTCTGTTTTGTCCCTACACCATGCCAGAGCCAAAACTAGTGAGAAAATCAATTCTATTTCTTTGAAAACGCATCTAACAATTAAGACATGAGTGAAAACTCTTGTCTCACAAAGGAAAAAGCATTCCTCTGGGAAGTCCTTCTACATAAAGGTCTTCAACATGAGACTGGAGAAAAGGGTACAGGATCATCAACAGACCAGTGGCTTTTATTGTTTGAGCTGTAAGGACAAAAACAAAAAGGGAGATCATTTAAACACAACCTATATTGCTCTTTAACTTTTCATTTTTCAGATGGAGTCTCGCTCTGTCGCCAGGCTGCAGTCAAGTGGCGCAATGTCAGCTCTCTGCAACCTCCATGTCCCGGGTTCAAGTGATTCTCCTGCCTAAGCCTTCTGAGTAGCTGGGACTACATGTGCCCGCCACCATGCTCAGCTAATTTTTATACTTTCAGTAGAGACGAAATTTCATCATGTTGGCCAGGATGGTCTCGATCTTCTGACCTTGTGATCCACCCACCTTGGACTCCCAAAGTGCTGGGATCACAGGCATGAGCCACTGAGCCAGGCATTGCTCTTGAACTTTTATAATTTGATCTTTACTTCTGTTATTGTAATTCAGTCCAAAGAAAAATAGTGTGAGAAAAATAAAAATAACACCAAAAATGCTAATATTCTGTTCATCAAAGTTTGCAGTGAAATATCCCATTACAGCCAGGCAGGGTGACTTACCTCTGTAATCCTAGCACTTGGGAGGCCAAGGCAGGTGAATCGCCTGAGGTCAGGAATTGGAGACCAGGCTGGCCAACATGGCAAAACCAAATCTCTATGAAAAATACACAAATTAGCCAGTTATAGTGGTGAGTGCTTGTCATCTTAGCTACTTGGGAAGCTGAGATAGGAGAATCACCTAAACCTAGGAGGCAGAGGTTGCAGTGAGCTAAGATCACCATTGCACTCTAGCATGGGTGACAAGACCAAAACTCCAGCTCAAAAAGAAAAGAAAAGATCGGTAGATCCCATTACTTTAAGGCAATGTAGATACAGCCAAACTGTCTAAAGAAATCTGAACCACATTATAAAGTGAGAAAAACATACCAGCTAATATTATTTAATACATATAGTACTAAATGGAAGAGGTAATATTTTCAAAACATAAACGTGAGTGTAACCTTATTGGACTTACAAAAATAATTTTTTTAATAACTGAAACAGAAGATTCCCTGAACTGCAACTTTTAAGCTAGCATTTATTTACTCAAGATTCAACTAATATAACAGCTATAAAAAGTCAAGAGCTGGGCTGGGCATGGTGGCTCATGCCTCTATCCCCACATTTTGGGAAGCTGAGGCAGGCAAATCACCTGAGGTAGACCGTTCCAGACTAGCCTGACCAACATGAAAAAACCCATCTCTAATAAAATATAAAATTAACTGTGGCATATGCCTGTAATCCCAGCTACTCTGGAGGCTGAGGCAGAAGAATAGCTTGAACCCGGGAAGCAGAGGTTGCAGTGAGTCGAGATTGAGCTATTGCCCTACAGCCTGGGCAACAAGAGCAAAACTCCATGTCAAAAAAGAAAAAAGTCAAATGTTAGCCAGGTGGGAGTGGCTCGCACCTGTAACCCCAGCACTGAGGGAGGCCAAGGTGGGTGGATCCCCTGAGGTCAGGAGTTTGAGACTAGCCTGGCCAACATGGTGAAACCCCATCTCTACCAAAAATACAAAAATTAGCTGGGCATGGTGGCACTCACCTGTAGTCCTAACTACGGAGGCTGAGGCAAGAGGATAAATTCAACCTGAGAAGTGGAGGTTTTGGTCAGCTGAGATCACACCACTGCGCTCCAGCCTGAGTGAAAGAGCAAGACTCTGTTTCAAAGAAAAAAAGAAAAGAAAAGTCAAGAGCATGGGGAATATTCAAATCAAACATAACCAACAGTCTCCCAACAAAACAGCTCCATTTCTTTGCTATCAGTATGTGTTAAGGTCTATCTGCTAAACACTGATATTTGTACTCATGTTTCAAGTGCACATTAGTGCTTAGATTTAATATCCTTTGCTGTACACTAAACTTGAATATCATACTTTCATATTACAAAAAAAGTATCTTTCCCTAAGGCAATTACCATTAATAATGCTTTAAAATTATAAAGTGTGAAGATACTTTTTATAATTTCACTTGTTATAATTTCATAACAGCTGAACATTGTCTTTAAACAAAATAATCTAATAAACCACCATCACAACAAAATCCCCACAACATAATCAGTTTCACCTGATAAAAGCACTGATATTTATAAAAATTATCAGTCAATTTATAAAACAGTGAATTCATAAAACTTGAATAGCAAATGATTTTTACTCAGAATAGTACTAAATTAACAATATCATAAAATCATAGGCCAGGTATAGTGGCTCACACCTGAATTTTCAGCACTTTGTGAGGCCAAGCCGGGTAGATCACTTGAGGTCAGGAGTTCAAGACCAGTCTGGCCAACATGGTGAAACCCTGTCTCTACTAAAAATACACAGGTTAACTGAGCATGGTGGTACACGCCTGTGATCCCCGCTATTTGGGAGACTGAGGCAAAGAATTGCTTGAAACCATGAGGCAGAGGTTGCAGTGAGCCAAGATCTCATGCCACTGCACTTCAGTAAGTGCAACAGAGCAAGATTCTGCCTCAAAAAATAAATAAATAAGTAAATTAAAACATAAGCAAGATGCATTTATTATATATTTATATACCCGGTATTATGTGAAGCAGTGTAACATGCTATCAAATCTTCGAGATAGATCTTCCGTTCTCATGACCACTAAAGAGCATACTAAGGCTCAGACAGAATAAGAGACTTGGCCAAGCTGACCTCATGATCTGCCCGCCTTGGCCTCCCAAAGTGCTGGGATTACAGGCATGAGCCACCATGCCCAACCAAATACCGAATTTAACAAAGCAGATAAAGAGAAATCATTAGTTTAAAAAAAATTAATGAAATCCCTATGATCCAAGGCTTTGCAATAAATTATAAATAAATCGCCAATATTCATGCTGAAAGTTTAAAAGAAATGCTAACTGATAATAAATACAATTTTTCCTTAGCTTTACAGTAATCTAGAAAGAAAGAAAGTTTCTAATATTTAGACAGACACTACAAGATGAACAGTGACTCCATTGTATAAACACTCATGAACAAAGTATTACAGGACTTTTCCAGTTTAGACATACCATATTTTCTTTCAGATAGTTCTTCAATGTGTTTACATAGATCAGCGATACCATCATTGCATTTCTCTGAAAATTGAGCAAAGGTTGATTGTCAATGATATGTCCCTACGTCAGAGCAACATTAACGTATAATGACTTATTTCCTATATTTTACATCTCAACAGTCCATATCATTTTACTTCTTTTGAAAAAATGTTTCCCTTTTTTGGTGGTTCTTATAATTAGTTTAATTGGAGACTGTAAGAAAAGTTTTAAAGTTTAGTACCTCTTTTTATCCTTTTAATTTCTGAAAAGGAGGAGGGCAGAAAAGATCCATCAAATTAAATAACAAGGAGGCCACAACGACAATGTCTCCAGGGGTCTTTTAGCAAACTTCCTAAAACATGTCTCACTTGTGTGGAAATAAGACTTTACAGCAGCCAGTGAGGTGATGTAGGCCTGTAATCCTAGCACTTAGGGAGCAGAGATAAGTGGATCGCTTTGAGCTGAGGGCAACATAGCAGAAACTTCCGTCCCCTCCCCCATCTTCCACTGCCCCCTCCATGTGCCCATCTCATCCAAAAATACAAAACTTAACCAGACATGGTGGCAGGCACCTGTAGTCCCAGGTACTCAGGAGGTTGAGGTAGAAGAATCACTTGAACCCAGGAGACAAATGTTGCAGGGAACGAAGACTGCAGCCAGCCTGTGCAAAAGAGCAAGACTCCATGTCAAAAAAGAGAGGAACCCCAAAGCAAAAATCCCAACCCTTTTCCTCCCAATGACTGAAACACCAGGAAGGTGTAATAGTTTTGCAGCATACCTGTAATAGGCTGATAGTGACCCCCCAAGATGCTCATAACCTAATCCCAGGAACCAGTGAACATGACCTCATATGGTAAAAGGGGCTTTAGAGATATAATGAAGTTAAGGACTTTTGGCCAGGAAGATTATTCTGGCTTGTCACAGTGGGGTTGATGTACTCACCCAGATCCTTATCAGAGCAGAGCAGGTGATGGAGAGTGATGGGAAGTGTAGTGATGGAAGCAGGTACCTCCAGTCATTCAAGAAGGGCAGCACAAGCTGAGGATTCCAGGAAGCCTCCAGGGCCAGAAACTCATTCTCCTTCAGAGCCTGGGAAGGTACCTGCCCTGCTCCCACCTTGAGTCAGCGGGACTGACTTTAGAATTCTGGCCTTCAGAACATAAGCGAATACATCTGTGTTGCTTTTTTTTTTTTTTTTTCAGACAGAGTTCCCCTCTTTTTACTTAGGCTGGAGTGTGATGGCACGATCTCGGCTCACTGCAACCTCCGCCTTCCAGGTTGAAGCCTCAGCCTCCTGAGTAGCTGGGATTACAGGCATGCACTATCACACCCAGCTATTTTTATATTTTTATTAGAGGTGGAGTTTCTCCATGTTGGTCAGGCTGGTCTCGAACTCCCAACCTCAGGCCATCCGCCTGCCTCAGCCTCCCAGAGTGGATTACAGGCATGAGCTACCATGCCCAGCTACGTCTATGTTGTTTTAAGCCCTAAGTGTGTGGTAATTTGTTGCAGCAGAAACAGGAAACTAGTATCGTAGTGAAGCCTCAAAACCCACCTGAAGGGGCTGGGTGCAGTGGTTCATGCCTGTAATCCCAGCATTTTGGGAGGTCAAAGTGGGCAGATCACTTGAGGTCAGAAGTTCGAGACCAGCCTGGTCAACATGGTGAAACCCTGTCTCTGCAAAAAAACTAGCTGGTGTGGTGGCATGGCACATGCCTGTAATCTCAGCTACTTGGAAGGCTAAGACATGGGAACAGTTTGAACCTGAAGAGGGGGAGGCGGAGGTTGTAGTGAGCCAAGATTGTGCCACTGCACTCCAGCCTGGGTGAGAGAGCCAGTCTCCATCTCAAAACACACCTGGCTAATTTTTGTGTTTTTAGTAGAGACAGGTTTTGCCATGTTGCCCAGGCTCTACTCAAACTCCTGGCCTCAAGCGATCCACCTGTCTCAGCTTCCCAAAGTGCTGGGATTACCGGTGTGAGCTATGGCACTCAGCACTCACCAAGGCCTTTGACAACATGCTTTTCCAGGTGATCAGTCCTTGTCTGGTCTGGCTCTGCCACACTCTCCACTACACCAAGTTGGAATCCTTAGCTACTTTTCAGAAGCGGAGGGTGTGTACTTTAATCCCAGCACGGTATGGTTCAGATCTGCATTTAACTCATGGAACCTGGTTGCTTCCCAGGCCCTAGAGAAAAAAAGGGTCTCTGTGGGTATGATACAGGATGAGCCAAGATCATGCCACTGCACTCCAGCCTGGGCTACAACAGCGAGACTCCATCTCAGGAAAACAAAAACAAAACAAAACAGACTCCATCTAAAAGAAAAAGACAAAACAAAAACAAATGTGGCACAGCAAAGAAAATAATTATTGTGTTAAAGACAGTTTCATAGAAAATAAAAGACAATGCAACAAGCTGTCTTTTTAGATTAGTACAATTGTTATTCTTATTTTATAGCTAAAAAAATGAGCTCAGGGCAAGTGTGGTGGCTCACATCTGTAATCACAGCATTTTGAGAGGCTAAGGCAGGTGGATCATGAGGTCAAGAGATCAAGACGATCTCTGCCAAAATGGTGAAACCACATCGCTACTAAAAATACAAAAATTAGCTGGATGTGGTGGCACGTGCCTGTAGTCCAAGCTACTCAGGAGGCTGAGGCAGGAGAATCACTTGAACCCGAGAGGTGAAGGTTGCAGTGATCCAAGATGACACCACTGCAAAAGAGCAAGACCCTGTCTCTAAAAAATAAAAAATAAATAAAATAAGTAAAAGAGAAACAGGCTCAGAGAATGTTATTTGATTGGACCATCTTGCATCTCTGGACAGAGAAGCTGAGATCAGACTTCATGTGTAACTCCCCTAGCCTACCAGGGTGCCTCTCATAAAAGGAAGACATATAACTTTGGCCTAATATACAAAGATGCTGGAACAGTCAATTCTACATACAGTACTTCCATGTTCATCAAGGGAAACCTTAAGGGAAGGTGAAAATGCTTCTTGAAGGGACTGGACACCAGTGCCCTTACTTGTTGCCTTTGGGCTCTTCCTCCAAGGGTAACAGTGACCTGAAATTACTGACTGTTCCAATCAACGGGAGGAAATGGTACCAAGGTCACCAACATCAGGCAAATTCACTTGAGGACCTATCTGTGTGCTTTGACAGACAAAAACTGCTTTTGTAAAGGATACTGTATTTCAGAAAAACATAGTCACATTAACAACTAATAACACTGTAAAGTGCTGTTGTGTTGAATGCTACTTTAGAAAAATATGCTCAAATGTAGAGAAAAAATTGTGATAGAAAACTACTTATCAAGTATCTAGCTAGCTATCTAGAGATATGGTCTCATTCTTTTGCTCAGGATGGAGAGCTGTGGGATGACCCTACTCACTGCAGACCTGCTCCTGGCCTCAGGTGATCCTCCTGCCTCAGCATCCTAAGCGGCAGAGGACACAAGTGGACACAGTTACACCTGCCTTTTTTATTTGTTTTGTAGAATCAGGGTTTCACTACATTGCCCAGGCTGGTCTCAAACTCTGGAGTCTCGCTCTGTCAACCAGGCTAGGGTTCAGTGATGTGATCTCGACTAACTGCAACCCCTGCCTCCTGGGTTTAAGCAATTCTCCTGTCTCAGCCTCCCGAGTAGCTGGGACTACAGGCATGTGCCACCACATGCGGCTAATTTTTGTAGAAACTGGGTTTCATCACGTTGGCTACACTGATCTCGAACTCCTGGCCTCAGGTGATCCACCTGCCTTGGCCTCCCAAAGTGCTGGAATTACAGGTGTGAGCCAGGAAGCCAAGCCACGGACTTTGTTATTAAATAGCCTAAACCAAGTGGGGCGCCGTGGCTCATACCTTTAATCCCAACAACTCTGAAAGCCAAGGTGAGAAGATGGCTTGTACTCAGGAGTTCGAGACCGACCTGGGCAAAATGGGAGCATCTCCCCCTCCCATCTCTACAAAAAAATACAAAATATTAGGTCAGGCATGCACTGTGCCTGTCTACTTTTTGTATCTTTTGTAGAGACGGGGTTTTGTCATGTTGCTCAGGCCAGTCTCACACTCCTGATTCCAAGCCATCCTCCCGCCTCAGCCTCCCAAAATGCTGGGATTACAGGGCCCAGGCAGCCTCAATTTTTCTTTAAGCAGTCCCCCAATGTTGCACGCTTGGATAGTTTCCTTTTTTATTTTTTTAGACAGGGTTTACCTCAGTCTTGCAGACCGGAGTGCCGTGGTAGAATCATGGTTCGTTGCAGCCTTGAACCTTGGGGTTCAACTAGCTGGGAGGCTAAGGTGGGACTACAGAAATGGGGTCACACCACTTTGCTAGGCTGCTCTTGAACTCCTGGCCTGAAGAAAACTTCCCACCTCCCTAGTGTCCGGACACACTTTTTCTATTTTTTAAGCCACATAAATACTGTGCTGGGTCGGAGTTTGTTACCTGCCCTTCTCCAGCCAGCAGCACAGAGGACGCAGCGGAAGATGGAGGTTACCGGACTCTGCTCTGGGGACAAGACAACACAGCTCCTAGGCAACACACCTCCGCGTGAAGTCGCGTAAGGCTTGCCTCTGTGACGTCGCCGGAGGCCCGTCTCCGTGCGCCGTGATGTTACCGTAGGCGCCCGCCGTGACGTCACCGGAGGCGCGCCGCCATGATGTTTTCAGAGGCCGGCCCCTCACTCGGAGCCAATCGGAAGTAGAGGCGGTGCCGCTGGGTCTTCCAGGAGTGCGCATGCGCAGGCTGGTGATGGAAGCCGCTGCAGAGCCGGTACAGCCGCATAGACAGGCTCCCGACTGGCTGCAGTCACCTATAAACTCCAAAGAGGAGTTTTAAGATTTCCCAGTCTGCAGGGCCAGGTGTGGCAGGGACCCGACTCAGAGAGCAGATGCTGCCCACCAACCTCCCGGCGCCTGGTGGGCACGAGTTCAAGGTTGCGCAGAAGAAGCTCCTCAATGGACAGTGAAGGGCTACCAGTGCCACTGCTACCCCGGACACGTATTCTTGCCTCAGCCTAGGTACGTGCGACCCCTAATACCTTTTCCAGCCAGGGACCCCAGGAGCATCCTTCACTGCTGCTCATCCTGGGAAGGGCAGGGCAGGGCAGGGCAGGGCAGGGCAGGGCAGGGCAGGGCAGGGCAAGGCAGGGCAAGGCAAGGCAATTCGAGGCATGGCAAGGCAGGGCAGGGCAGGGCAATTCCAGGCAAGGAAATTCAAGGCAAGTCACTCGCAGAGCACTACACTTTAAGGCAGGGGTCAGATCCAAGGCATAGGGCTTGTGCTGTCTCTCTAGGTGACCAATCCGGGAGCAGGGCAAAACCTCGATCTTCCCTCCACACTGCCACACCTGCAGAAGACAAAAAAGATCACCTGTGCTTCACAGTCAGTGAATTGCATAGCTTACTGACACAGGAGACTACATTTTAGAACCATTTTTAAAGAATGTATATTCAGTCCTCCCACTCCTGTCTTTATATTGTCTCCTATCCTTCTTATCTGACTCATCATTTCTTAGAAGTTTACCAAACTGCTTCTCTCCTGACATCCAAACAACTGCTGAAATCATACTTCCTTCAGGAGGTCTTCCTAAATCGACCAAAGGAGGGGCAGCCTCTGCTCCCTTATCCCCAAGGAAAATGCCCATGTCCTGAGAGGTGCCATGCCCTGAGCCACTCTCACTGCACTAAGTTTCTCATGCCCCTTCTCTCCTGCATGCTAGACATAGGGCAGTGTGGCAGACAGATACCAAAGAGACCCCATGATTCTCCTCTTGGTGTCCACGGCCTTGTCTGATCCCCTCCCCTTGAGTGTAGGCCTGTGACCTGCTTATAACCAACAGAATATGGCAAAGATGGCAGGATGTGCTTGATTACACGTATCATGAATACACTGCAAAATGTAGAGTCCATTTTGCCAAGAGATGCCCTCTCTTGTTAGCTTTGAAGAAGCAAGCTGCCATGTTGTCAGCTAACACATGAAAAGGGAAGACATTAAGAGTGGCTTCCAACTGATACCCAGCATAAAACCGAATGCTTCCTGAGCCTGGAAGACTTTAGGGGACTGAATGCTGCCAATAATAGTGTAAGCTTGAAGGGAGATCTTTCCACACCGGAGCCCAGATGAGAACCCAACTCCGGCTGATACCTTGAGAGCAGCCTTACAGAGGACCCCACTAAGCTGTGTGTGGATCCCTGACCTGCAGAAACTGTGAGATAATGAATGCTTCTTGCTTTCAAACACTAAGTTTGTGATAACATTGTTATACAGCAATAGAAAACTAATTTGCATAACTTGACCAAAAGATACCATGGCTTATGACCCAATTATAAACATTTGTTTTTACCATCCTAATGGGTAAAAAACATACTTGTCAAAACACGCACTCTAATATTGGGCTTAGAAAACATGATCTTCATCTCAGTAGCTAATAGGACTATCTAATCGTATTGGATTGAAGTGATGTCTCCTGTGTCTTCTCTTCATGGTTGCCTACGCGAGCTGCAGTTTCTAAGGTAATTAGCCCATAGCAGTGGCCGCAACCTACCACGGTCATGCCGAAGGGAGCCCCTGAGATAAGAGTGCGTAGCTTACCTCCCACTGGTTCAGTTAACATATCAAAACAGTGTCCAACTGAGTAGTCAGTCTCATTATCTGACTTTCTTTCACATTGTTTTCATCCTTTTTCCACTGCTTAAAACCCTAGATTTGCCCCATCTGCACCCTATTTCCTAGAATAACGGAGTAAAAAAAGCAAGGCTTTGAAATCAGACTGACCTATGTTGAAATTCTGGTTTCATCATTGCACACCTGGCAGCTAGAGTGCTTTGCCTCCTATCCTTCTTATCTGACTCATCATTCCTTAGAAGTTTACCAAACTGCTTCTCTCCTGACATCCAAACAACTGCTGAAATCATACTTCCTTCAGGAAGTCTTCCTAAATGGACCAAAGGAGGGGCAGCCTCTGCTCCCTCATCCCCAAGGAACGTGCCCATGTCCTGAGAGGTGCCATGCCCTGAGCCACTCTCACGGCACTAAGTTTCTCATGACCCTTCTCTGCCTGCACACTAGACATAGGGCAGTGTGGCAGACAGACACCAAAGTGACCCCGTGATGCTTTGCCCCTGGCTGCCAGCTGTGCAATGATGGAGTAGGTTGAGCCCCAATTTATTCATCTGCGAAAAGGGCACAACCACTATTTGAGTTGTCAGCAGGATTAAATGACATAGCAAGGAATCAGCTACAGCAGGCTCTGAGATAACTTGAGGTACACCTTCTCTTTCATTATCCTTCTCTGGCTCTCCTCATTGGTCCCCAGAATCATGTGGAGGTTACATCCCGCTTGCACTCAGGTATTATTTTTTCTAGCCAAACATTCAAAAATCCAATACAACCTTATTCCAATTTTCCTAGTTGATGAAGGTTTTCAACTCATATAAATTAGGGGCAAAAAATTAACTGTTGGCATAAAAAAAATCTTAAATTCAAGTTAAAAGTCAAGATTGACTAGGCTGGGTGTGGTGGCTCATGCCTGTAATCCCAGCACTTTAGGAGGCTGAGGCAGGCAGATCACTTGAGGTCAGGAGTTTGAGACCAGCCTGGCCAACATGGTGAAACCCCGTCTCTACCAAAAATACAAAAATTAGCCAGGTGTGGGGTGTGCACCTATAATCCCAGATGCTCAGGAGGCTGAGGCAGGAGAATCACTTGAACCTGGGAGGCGGAAGTTGCAATGAGCCTAGATCACGCCACTGCACTCCAGCCTGGGGAACAGAGTGAGACTCTGTCTCAAAAGAAAAAAAAAAAGATTGCCGTTTATGAAATAATGCTCATAATTAGCTTTCCCAAAAAATTTTCAAACTCTGCTCTTCCAATTTAGTCCCAGTTGCTAAACTCCTTTCATCATTTATCTTTTTTTCTCTCTCTCTCACACACACATATAGAGACATTAAGCTTCTCCTGATAATATTACTTTGTGCCATACACTCTCCTAATACTTTCCATAAATTTAATCCTCCCCATGCCGGTATCCCCCTTTAAGTAACCTGTCCATGTTTATCAGCTAGTAAATGACAGAGCTGCACTGTGAACCCAGGCAGTCACATGTTCAGTTCTGGCACAGTGCATGAATACACGAGGTGCTCAACAAATGTTGTTTTGTTGTTGTTTTTGAGACAGAGGATCGTTCTTGTTGCCCAGGCTGGAGTGCTATGGTGCAATCCCAACTCACAGCAACCTCTGCCTCCTGGGTTCAAGTGATTCTCCTGCCTCAGCCTCCCAAGTAGCTGGGATTACAGGCATACACCACCACACCCAGCTAATTTTGTATTTTTAGTAGAGATGAGGTTTCTCCATATTGGTCAGGCTGGTCTTGAACTCGCAATCTCAGGCAATCTGCCCACCTCAGCCTCCAGAGTGCTGGGATTACAGGCGTGAGCCACCACGCCCAGTTGACAGTGAATCTTTTAAAATGTCAGACCGTGTCACTTCCATGCTCAAAATCCAATGGCTTTCAAGTTCATTCACACTGAAGTTCAAGTTTTGCCATGATTTATGAGACTCTAGAGATCAGTGCTTCTCAAACTTATAATTGTACCCAAATTCCCTGGGGGATCTTCTTAAAATACAGATTTCCTGATTCAGCAGCTTTGAAGTGGGACTTCTCCTGCGTTTCTAGTAAGCTCCCAGATCATGAGATCATAATATTAACAATGCTGATCTGAGGACCACATTTTGAGGAGCAAGGTTCTAGAATAATCTGTACCACTTCCTACCTAATCTCTTTTTCCTAGCTTACTCTAGGTCCAACTATTTTGGCATTTGCCCACTCAAGGCCTTTGCATGGGCTTTTCTGTTTGCTTGGAATGCCCTTCCCTGACAATCTGCATAGTTCATTTCCTTACTTTCTTAAGGTCTCTGCTCAAATGTGACGTATCAGCAAGACTTCTCTGATAATGCAACATAAAAATGGCAGGCCCTACTATCTTCTTCTTCATTTTATTTATTTATTTATTTGTGAGACAGAGTTTCACTCTTGTTACCCAGGCTGGAGTGCAGCGTCACAATCTCAGCTCACCGCAACCTCCGCCTCCCGGGTTCAAGCAATTTTCCTGCCTCAGCCTCCCGAGTAGCTGGGACTACTGGTGCGTGCCACCATGCTCAGCTAATTTTTGTATTTTTAGTAGAGACATGGTTTCACCATGTTGACCAGGATGGTCTTGATCTCTTGACCTCATGATCTGCCCATCGTGGCCTCCCAAAGTGCTGGGATTACAGGCGTGAGCCACTGTGCCCGGCTATATTATTTATTACTAAGCTTTGTATAATTAACTTTAGAGACTATGTTGCCCAGGCTAGTCTTGAGCTCCAGGCCTTAAACAATCCTCCTGCCACTGCCTCCCAAGTGGCTGGGATTATAGGGATGAGCCACCATTCGCAGTACACTTCTTTTTATTTTTTAATTTTGAAACAGGGTTTAGCTGTGGCCCAGGTTGCAGTGCAGTGGTGTGATCATGGCTCACTGCAGCCTCCGCCTCCTGGGCTCAAGCAATTCTCGCACTTCAGCCTCGTAAGTAGCTGAGACCACCGTTGTACATGACCATGCCTAGCTAACTTTTTTGTAATTTTGGTGAAGATGGGGTTTCACCATGTTGACCAGGCTGGTCTCAAACTCCTGAGCTCAAATGATCCACCCGCCTCAGCCTCCCAAAGTGCTAGGATTATAGGTGTGAGCCGCTGTGCCTGGCCATACTGTCTGCTTTTTCTCTTTGGCTCTTACAACCATCTAATGGTCCTCCCCAATCCATGTTCTCAGATTCCGAGGTTTCAGTTACCTGTGGTCAATCTCAAGCCTGAAAATATTAAATGAAATATTCCAGAGACAGGCTGGGCACGGTGGCTCACACCTGTAATCCCAGCACTTTGGGAAGTCGAGGCGGGCGGATCATCTGAGGTCAGGAGTTCAAGACCAGCCTGGCCAACATGGTGAAACTCCATTTCTACTAAAAATAGAAAAAATTGGCAGGGCCTGGGGGCTCACGCCTATAATCCCAGCACTTTGGGAGACCAAGGTGGGCAGATCACCTGAGGTCAGGAGTTCGAGACCAGCCCAGCCAACATGGTGAAACCCCATCTCTACTAGAAAATACAAATTATTAGCGGGGTGTGGTAGTGGATGCCTGTAATCCCAGCTACTCAGGAGGCTGAGGCAGGAGAATTGCTTGAACCCGGCAGAGGTGGAGGTTGCAGTGAGCCAATATCATGCCACTGCACTCCAGCCTGGGTGACAAGAGTAAAACTGTCTCAAACAAAACAAAACAAAAACCCCCCAAAAATTAGCAGGGCATGGTGGCACTCGCCTACAGTCCCAGCTACTTGGGAGGGTGAGGCAGGAGAATTGCTTGAGCCCAGGAAGTGGAGGTTGCAGTGAGCTGAGATTGCGCCACTGGACTCCAGCCTGGGTGACAAAACGAGACTGTGTCAAAAACAAAAAAGAAATATTCCAGAGATAAACAATTCATAAGTTTTAAGTCATGTGCCATTCTGAGTAGCATACAATCTGGTGTTACCCTGCTGCCTCCTGCCTGGGATGTGAATCCTCCCTTTGTCCAGCATACCCAGGCTGTATATGCTACCGTATCACTCATTAGCTTCCACCTTGTCAGATCAACTGTCACAGGACTTCCGTTTAAGGAACCTTTATTTTACTTAATAATGGCCCCAAAGTGCAAGAGTAGTGATGTTGGCAGAGTTATGATTTTTCTATTTTATTAATATTGTTGTTGATCTCTTATTGTATCTAATTTGTAAATTAAACATTACTATAGGTATGCAGGTGGGGGAAAAAACATAGTATATATAGGGTTTGGTACTATTCTAGTTTCAGGCATTTAATTGGGGTCTTGGAATGTATCTCCTTGGATAAGGGGTCCTGTTATACCACATATTTACTTGTTTATTACTTGTTGAGAGCCTAGAAAGGAAAAACTTTGTCATTTTGTTTGTTTTGTTTACTACTGTATTACCAGTGCTTAGAACAATGCCTGGCACACAGCATATGATCAGTAAATACTTGTTAAATGAATTAAATGATTTGATCTTATATTACTTAGAGGAGAAGTTGTATTCAGGGTTCTAACCACCAAAATCATCGAAGGAATGCAATTGCTTTAAAAAAAGGACTCTTGGCTGGGTGCAGTGGCTCAGGCCTGTAATCCCAGCACTTTGGGAGGTGGAGGTGGGCGGATCACCTGAGGTCGGGAGTTCAAGACCAGCCTGACCAACACGGAGAAACCCCATCTCTACTCAAAATCAAAATTAGCCGGGCGTGGCGGCACTTGCCTGTGATCCCAGCTACACTGTAGGCTGAGGCGGGAGAATCACTTGAACCCGGGAGGCGGAGGTTTTGGTGAGCTGAGATCGTGCCATTGCACTACAGCCTGGGCAACAAGAGTTAAACTTCATCTCAGGGGAAAAAAGGAAAAAGAAAAGTTAGCTGCGCGTGGTGATGCACACCTGTAGTGCGCATGTGTAGTCCTAGCTACTCAGGAGGCTGAGGCAGAAGAATTGCATGAACTTGGGTCGTGCAGGTTGCAGTAAGCCGAGATCGTGCCACTGCACTCTAGCCTGGGCAAGAGAGAGTCTGTCTCAAAATAATAATAATAATAATATAATAGAGCTGAAAAATTCCCATCGTCTAGTAGCTTGTTGATGACCCTGACACTGTGCAGGCCTAGGCTAATGTGTGTGTTTGTGTTTTAGTTTTTAACAAAAAAGGCTGGCTGGGCATGGTGGCTCATGCCTATAATCTCTGCACTTTGGTTCATGTCTGTGATCCCAGCTACTTGGGAGGCTGAGGTGGGAGGACTGCTTGAGCCCGGGAGGTTGAAGCCTGTAATCCTAGCACTTTGGGAGGCCAAGGCGGGTGGATCACGAGGTCAAGAGATCAAGACCATCCTGGCCAACATAGTGAAACCACATCTCCACTAAAATACAAAAATTAGCTGGGCGTGGTGGTGCGGGCCTGTAGTCCCAGTTACTAGGGAGGCCGAGGCAGGAGAATTGCTTGAACTCAGAAGGCAGAGGTTGCAGTGAGCGGAAATTGCACTTCTGGACTCCAGCCTGGCCCTGGTGACAGAGTGAGACTCTGTCTCAAAAAAAAAAAAAAAGCTGGGCATGGTGGCAGGCACCTATAATCCCAATTACTCGGGAGGTTGAGGCAGGAGAATCACTTGAACCTCGGAGGCAGAGGTGGCAGTGAGCTGAGATCACACCATTGCACTACAGCTTGGGTGACAGAGCAAGACCGACTCAAAAAAAAAAAAAAAATTAAGAAAGAATAAGAAGCTGCCTTCTAGCATCCATGAAAGAAAGGCCAAGAGGAGACAAGCTGGGGCCATCTTGTCAAGCTGCTGCATTAACCAACTCTTCTTCTTGTAGGTGATAACAAATGAAATAGGTTATAATCTCTATATTTACAGATGAGAAAACTTTGCCAGTTGGTCTTGTTACTTAAACCCCTGGGCCTTATCTGTAAAAGACAGAGTGACAAATCTCTGATTACTTCACAAAGTTGCTCTGATGACCAAACGAATCAAGCAGTAGGAAGGTTTTTAAAGAACTATGAAGTGGCATATTAATGTGCCACTTCATAGTTCTTTAAAGTTAGTATTATTTCCATTTTTATGTGCAAAGCGCTTAAGTACAGAGAGAATGGTCTGGTCTCATCTGAGGCCAGAACAGTGCCCCAGCAGGGGCTAGTGGGCCTCCTGCACCAGAATGGGAAGAGCGTTAACACTGACGATTTATTTATAATAATACAACTGCGTTTACAGAGCGGGAATTGAAGTAAGAAAGGTTAAGCGATTTGCTTAACATCTTCCGTTGCGGATCTGTCAGACTTACAGTTTCTCCCACATTGCGCCCCAAGGATATACCTACTAGACCTCCCTGCCTAGTGTATATTGCCCAATATCGGGTCACACAGCCATGTACTCGATTTTCCTACTCTTTTACAATCTGCAACACCACATCTTACCTGGCGATCTCACCCGCGGCTCTTCTGACTCCGGCAGTGGGGCTTAAATGAACAGGAAAAAACACGCGTGCACAACACGCACCAGTCAGCGAGACAGTTTTCAAGTTGGCGGAGAAACCGGCCAATCCTCGGCAGGTAGAGTAAAAGGCCCGCCTCTGAGTATGGCAACGCGCGGGCAAAGCCACAAATACCGAGTTCAAATCTCAACGCCTGCAGGAGGGCCAGTCGCGACGGTCGCCGGAGCGGCCGGCCAATCACAGCGCCGCCTGGGGGCGGGCCAAGGCTCCGGCTCCGGCCCCCGCTCCCACGCCCTACTCGCCCGCTAATGCCTCCTTGTCCGCAAGGCCCCTCTTTGCCGCGGCGGGGAAGCCGTATTTCTGCGGACCAGAGATGTCGCGTCCCTGGCTGGGCAACGGTAGGGCCCTGGAATACTGAACCATTCAGTCACCTCCAGGAAAGGAGGCAAGTCCACGCTGGGAGTTAAAAGGCATCGCCTCTAATCCAGGTTTCGCCATCTCCTCCGCTAAGTGACGTCCAGCAGGTCACTTTCAGGGTCTCAAATTTCCTTCCCCGTAGTAAAATGGGGATAATAAAAACAGCTACGGCGCAAGACTGCTGTGAGGCACAGAGAAAGGGCTTGGTCTTTGGAGGCGGGTTCCAGGTTCTCAAACTTCATATCCTTCACAGTTGAAGGACGCCAAAGAAAGTGGAAAGGGTGACTTTTCTTGAAATCTCAGTTTTTGGGAATCTTAGCGACAAATCGCTGACCTCAGCTAATTCAGCGCTCCAAAACTTCCGGCAGGAAAACCGGAAGCACTGAGGCGGGACCCTTTGGAGGTACATACCTCTCTGGCCGGAACCGGGGGGCGGGGCCTAGGCGGGCCCTGCGCCCACAGCTACCTGGGTAAGGCCCAAGATGCCTGCCTTTACGTTAGTATACTTGTGAAGTCAGCGGGGACAGTTCCTGTCATCATCTTCTTGAGGGCCACATTTGGTTCTCATTCTTGGGCTTGTTTGGTGTGCTGTTGAAGGGGGGACTAGAGAAATGGCAGGAAGCCTCTTATGCGGGGTAGGCCGGCGCCTGTTGGACTGGGTGCCTTTGGCGTGCAGAAGCTTCTCTCTCGGTAAGTGGCTGATGTAGACGCGCCGATAACCGCTTCGCAGTATAATAGGCGGCTCAGAATCATTCCCTCCCTTCCCCATCTTCAGATGTTCCTAGATTGATGGGTATAAGGCTCACCCTCCCGCCCCCCAAAGTGGTTGATCGTTGGAACGAGAAGAGGGCCATGTTCGGAGTGTATGACAACATCGGGATCCTGGGTAAGACTTGACCCTCCACGTGGTACAGAATTTCAGAATGACAATTACGTTGTAACGACTATCTTTTCCTCCTGTGTAGAGAGTGATACTGTGCTCAGTAGTAAGAGCAAACACGTATGTAGCTGTTTACATTGTGTTTGGCACTGTTCCGAGTGCCCTCATATAAATTTTACTTCATAAGTGAGGAGACTGAGGAACGAACGGTTCAGTTTTTCCAAAGTTAATAAATGTCAGTGTCAGAATTTTAACCCCAAGCAGTCTGGCTCCAGAGTCTTTGCTATTGATTCTCTACTGTAACGTGTCTTGTCTATAGGTGTTGCTCAGCAAGATGCAACTGTGGGTTGAAAGCTTAGCTGGTGTAGGATGGGTCCTCTTGTCTTGGATCTAATGTGTTCTCTCACGTTACACAGGAAACTTTGAAAAGCACCCCAAAGAACTGATCAGGGGCCCTGTATGGCTTCGAGGTTGGAAGGGGAATGAATTGCAACGTTGTATCCGAAAGAAGAAAATGGTTGGACATAGGATGTTCGCTGATGACCTGCACAACCTTAATAAACGCATCCGCTATCTCTACAAACACTTTAACCGACATGGGAAGTATCGATAGAAGAGAAAGCTGAGAATTGTGGAAAAGGCTCATCTGTTACCCTGGAGAAGGGAAGCTACTTTTCCCTATGAGGAAACGGCTTTGTATGCTCTTTGTAATTAAATGGGGCTTCTTTGGAATTTGATAGCCACATAATTTTGTTTTCCTTTAATGCTGCCTCTACTCATGTAGATTATGAAGTCTTGACTCATCCTAGGTTTTAGGGTCTTCGGTTTGGGCCTCACACCACTTGCCTTTTACAGTCTAGCTATACCTAATGCCTTTAAAAAAGAAAAGTTGATGAGAATGTCATCGGCACTTTTTGACATAATGCTTATTAGCAAGCTAATAACAATTAGGTTAATAGTGCTTCTAAAGACCTTCGACTCTGAAATGAAATATAATAGAAAAATGGAGTTTGAATGTAAAACCTGACGGGGAAAAAAGAAAAATGGAGTTATACTTCTCTATTATTCTTGTAAAAATATTCATTAGGGATTTTCTCTTGAGTAGAAACTACAGGAAAAACAAAAAAGTGTGAGGTGTTTTTTCCATTTTAATATGAAGCATTAAGTACCATGTGAGTGGTAGAGATGGGGGATTCTAAGCCTTACCGGTCATCAGAGTTGTCTGGGTGTTTTAACATTTCAGAAGCCTAGTCCAGCCCCTAAAGATTGTGATCAGTAGAGCTGAGTTGAGTCTAGGACACCTATGTGTTTTGTTCTTTTTTAATAGTAATTTTTAAAAATTACAGCTGGACATAGTGGTACCCACATGTAATCCTAGCATTTTGCGAGGCCGAGGTGGGAGGATTGTTTGGAGCCAGGAATTTGAGACCAGTCTGGGCAGCATGGCAAAACCCCTAAAAATACAAAAAAATTAGCTGGGCGTGGTTCAGCGTTCCTGTAGTCCCACCTACTCAGGAGGGTGAGGTGGGAGGATCACCTGAGCCCAGGAGTTTGATGTGATCTCAGTTTGCTGTGAACTGAGATCATGCCATTTCATTCCAGCCTGAGCAACTGGGGTGAGACCCTGTCTCAAAAAAAGTGAATTTAGGGCTGGGTGCAGTGGCTCACACCTGTAATCTCAACACTTTGGGAGGCCAAGGCATAAGGATTGCCTGAAGCTAGAAGTTCAAGACCAGCCTGTGCAACATAGCAAGACTCCATCTCTATATTTGAAAAAACAAAAACTGTGTAAAAGTGAAGTTAGATTAATAAATACTTGTTGCAGGGCATGGTGGTTGGTGTGCACTTACTATCCCAGCTACTGTGCAGCTGAGGTGAGAGGATCCCTTAAGACCAGGAGTTGGAGGCTGGCCTTAGGAACATAGCAAGACACCATCTTTAATAAAAATAAAAAGTACCTGTTAAATTACAAGTGGGTTTTGGATAAATGGATTGATGGGTATATATGAAAACATGATCCTAGGTCTTAATGGAAATGTTTAGGAAAGTCAGTTTCCAGAGGGGTGGTTGGAGAGGAGCTATGCATGAGAATGGAGAGGTTGGTGTGAAGTGTGATTGGCTGTGATACTTTACATCATTTGGTGATACTGGAGTGTAGAAAATAAAATATTTGGGACTCTGCTAAGTGCAAGGCACCCTGAAGAAGATATCTACATATCTTGGTAGAGTATCTAATTGTTAGTGAAGAGGAATTAATAGGTCAGCAGCGATTTATAGAATATTTCCTGCTCCAAAGATACAAAAGATCTTGTTTTCAAGGACAGAACAATCTTGTTTGTGGTATGAAACAGTATACAACATTTTCCTTCAATAAATACTGAATTATTATGTGCAAGGATTTGGGGAGGAACAAAAATCACCAAGGTAGGGTTGGTTCCTACCTCTAAGTAGTCTTCATTCTACTTAAAAGATGTCTGAAGGATATAAAGTTACAAGATGATGGACCAATATGATACTGTGCAGAATGTTCAAGTGGTCCACATTTTTTAGACTACATCATGACAGAGAACAGAATTAACCTAATCCTGATGGGGCAGGGCACGGTGGCTCACGCCTGTAATCCCAACACTTTCGGAGGCTGAGGCAGGTGGATTGCCTGAGCTCAGGAGTTCAAGACCAGCCTGGGCAACATGGTGAAAACCCATCTCTACTAAAATCCAAAAGTTTAGCTGGGTGTGGTGGTGTGCGCCTGTAATCCCAGCTACTTGGGAGGCTGAGGCAGGAGAATCGCTTGAACCTGAGAGGCAGAGGTTGCAGAAGATCGTGCCACCGCACTCCAGCCTGGGTGACAGAGTGAGATTCTGTCTCAACAACAACAACAAAACAAGCAAACAAAAAAACATAGCCCTGATGAAAGACCATGACTGTATATTGTTGATCACCCCCTCCCTGGTGGACTACTTCTGACCATCCTCTTGATTTAGAAAAGAATGTTAGCCAGGCACAGTGGCTAAGGCCTATAATCGCAACACTTTGGGAGGCTGAGGTGAAAGGATCAGTTGAACCCAGGAATTCGAGATCACTCTGGGCGATATAGTGAGACACTGTCTACCAAAAAAAAAAAGAAGTAGCCGGGCATGGTGGCATGTACCTGTAGTTTCAACTACTCGGGAGGCTGGGTGGGAAGGATTGCTTGAGCCTGGGCAGTCGAGACTGCAGTGAACCAAGCCTGTGACACTGCACCTCAGCCTGGGCAACAAAGTGAGACCCTATCTCAAAAGAAAAAGAATGTATTTGCTAAATCAGTGGTCACAAACCACAAATGTGAGGCTATGTTAATCTGTTCCAATAAAGATATCCCATCCAGCAGACAATTAGCCCTGGGACTCCCACTTGGTTAAATTGGCAGCAGCTTCATCCAGTTTATGCAGGAGCAAGACTGGAAAAAATTTTTTAAAAAAGAGATATCTATGTAAACAAAATATGAATTTGAATAGGATGATAAAAATTAGTCCCATGAGAGTTTTTATTTGTTTGTTTTTGCTGAGGGGACAGTCAGAAAAGGTATTTGTTGAAAAGATGGCATTAGAATGAGGTCTTGAGGCCAGGCACGGTGGTTCATGCTTGTAATCCTAGCTCTTTGGGAGGCCAAGGTCAGCAAATCACTAGAGCACTTTGGTAGGCTGAGGCAGGAGAATCATTTGAACCCGGGAGGCAGAGTTTGAAATGAGCCGAGATCGCGCCACCGCACCCCCCAGCCTGGGCGACAGAGCAAGACTCCATCTCAAAAAAACAAAAACTAAAAAACAAACAAAAACAGCAACAACAAAAAGATAGAAACAATGCATGTTTGCCAAACAAAATAACTGGCAAGTGATTTAGATTGTCATCTATGCGGAAGGAGTGGAATGGGGAAAACGGGAATATGCAAAGGAAAAGAGGCAGGGTCTTTCCATGGATATGTGAAAATGCTCATCAGGAATTGATGAGTATTATTAACTTCATCTTCTGCACCTGAAGTCTCCTGGAAATACAATGTTCTATTTTTCTTCCTTAGGGACATTCATACTCTAAGAAACACTCATATAAAAAACCACTCCTGGCTGGGGACCTGTGATCCCAGCATTTTGAGAGGTGGTGATGAAACCATTCTTGATCACTTAAGATCAGAAGTTTGAGACCAGACTGGGCAACATGATGAAACCCATCTCTACTGAAAATACAATAATTAGCCGGCTGGTGGTGTGTGCCTATAATCCCAGCTACTTGGAAGGCTGAGGCAGGAGAATCGCTAGAACCTGGGAGGCGGAGGCTGTGGCGAGTTGAGACCGCTCCACTGCCACAGAGCAAGACTTCATCTTAAAAACAAAAAACAAAAAAACCTCACACTCCTGTTGTTTCTTTAACTTACCAGTATCTATACCAGGTCAAACACTTTAGCACATTATCAATTCCCTTTGGTATTCTTACTATTACACACGTATGTGTAATGTACATGTCTAATATATGTATGTTTGTTGTTTTGGTAATT